TAGCAACATTATTCCGCTCTGCTACTCTGTACGCTAGGTAACATGGGTATTGTGGAGTTTTGGTCTTGACATAGTATGTTTACCATTTTCCAGTCCACAACACCAACGAGATTTTTTCCGATCTCTCTGCTTCTTTCTGCTTCTCTCTCTCTCTCTCTATCTCTCCAAGCTGTCCACAGCAAATTAGCGGAAACCTGAAAACGGAGGGCGGCTTTCCGAGAAATCACGTGTACTGGGGTGGAGCGGATGGCAGAGGAGGGGTGGCTTGGATCCGCGCCCAGTTCTCAGCTAACAATGGATCCAATTTTTCTAAGATTTCTCCCTAGCATTTGGTCACTTTAAAAGTCTTTAATGGACTATTTTTAAAGGGACAAAAACGCCGATCACTTATTTTGACTCCTTGGAAAGACGCCAGCTTTCGATGAGGGGCAAGGAAGCCCTTTCTCGCGCTAAATCACGCTGTCTCTCTCTCTCTGTCGCTCTCTCTATTTCGCTCTATCCCTCTCTGTCTCTCTCTCTCTCTACGTCCGTCCCTCTAGCTTTCTCTCTCGCTCACTCTCTCGATCTTTCTCTCTCGATCACTCCCTCTATCACTCGAACTATCTCACGCTCTCACGCACGACTCAGATAATAATAGATAATAAGTAATAGATAACCTCCAAAAACATCTTGAAAATCCGGGTTATCCCAACAATTTTTTGCCCTGATGATCGTAGTGGATTCAAATTTTTCAAATCTCCGGGCTGCTCAGAATTGTTAGTTTTTATCTAGCATGCGTTCATCACATCTTTAACATCCGAAAATCCGGAAAACCGGTTCCAAATTTCTCAAATTCCTCCCACATCGCCGTGTTGCCCTTTTAAGGTGCCCGGATGAAACCGGATTGCGCGGTGAAAACCGAAATCCGGCCCTCAGGGGTCACGTGGGTTGGAGAGTGAGAGAGCGAGAGAGAGAGAGAGAGAGAGAGAGAGAGAGAGAGAGAAGGCTAGGGAGCCCTCAGGGGATGTCTAATCCCGCTCGACCTCCTTTCCGGACGGATCCGGAGAGCCCGTACAGTGGTGTGCCCTGTAGCGCCCTTTTCACCCATCGCGCCCCTTTTCAGCAATACCACTCCCGCTCCCTCCATTCTGGGCAGCTAGGAGAAGCGGGCGGGGCTGATCACTCTCCATCCACCCCCATCGATCTCGACGTCCGGTCCCGGATTTTTGGCGGAATTTCCGACGATTTCAAGACGGACACGAAAATATGGTGGGTTGATATGTGCTCGAGTTGCGAGTTGTGCTATAACTACAAATTTCTGACTTTTTCGGCGCGTGGCGCTCGTCTCTCACACTCTCTCAATCTCTCTCACTGTCTCTATCCCTCGCTCGCTCGCTCTCTCGCTCACGCTCTCTCCCTCTCTTTCTGGCTCACTCGCTCTTTCTCTATCCCACTCTATTTCTCTCGATCGCTCTCTTTCTGACCCTCTAGCTCTCTAGCTATCTCACTCTATCTCTCTCGCTCTCTCTTCTGGCTCTCTCGCTCTCTCTCTCTCTCTGTCTCACTCTATCTCGCTCGGGCTCTCTCTCCCACTCTCTCTCTCTCACTCTCTCTGTGTCCCTTGATCCTAGTTGTTAGTGAGATGACGATACTAATAATCGCCCGCAGAATTCCCAAATGTTTTCTGCCAGCTCGCCCTTGTTCCATCAAGCACAAAACACATCCCCAGATGGTAATCAGGAAGTTGTGAAGTGCATCGTACAATTTCTACGTGTTGTTCGGACGTCACAAATTCACAAAGAACAATAGCACGGTTAAGGCGGTGACAGATTTCCTAAAAGATGCCCCTTTGCTCGATTCAAGTACCCGAAAACATGGAGTATTTCATGGCGAGAGCGAGGCTGGCTCGTCGTTTATCTGGCCAGCCGATCGGGAGGGGGAGGAGGAGGAGGAGGAAGAACTGTTGGAGGTGAAGAAGGAGGAGGAACAGTGTAATTCCATTCATTTTGCGCTCCCTCCCTACCACTTCTATATATTCCTCGATATTATCGATTGGGTGGCTGTAGAAATTGGATCATGAAGTCCCGAAGAAATGACAGTACCCTGTTGCCGGACCCGGAGACGTTTCTTGTAAGTTATTGGGGGTTTAGTGGTAGCTTAGTAGCAGTTTGGTAGTGAGTAAGCTTAGGCTTAGGCTTTGGTTTTGGCTTAAGTTTAGGCTTAGGCTCACGCTTAGGCTTGGGCTTAGGCTTGGCTTAGTCTTGGCTTAGGCTTAGGCTTCTCTTAGGCTTCGGCTTGCTCCCTATAGCCAAGGAGAATTCACCCTCCAGATTCCTTAACCCTCCTTTCACCGGATTCCAAGTGACGTCAATGGTATCGTAGCGTAGTCTTGTAGCTGGGGGAATGTTGTGTGCCGTTGTGTCGTCACCCGGGGCTGAAACAAAACCGGGGAGAGATCTAGGATCGCGATCACGCCAAACCCCCGGTTTGTCGGTCATTTTTCGGGCTTTCCGGCGGCTAATCTAGGGGTTCGTGCTCTTGCTTATGCTGTTGTTCTGTCTCTATCTGTCTCACTCTCTCTCTCTCTCTCACTCTCACTCTCTCTCACACTCTCACTCTCTCTCTATGTCTCTCTCTTAGTCGCTCTCGCTCTCTATCCCTCTATCTCTTTTTTTAATTGTTTGGAATCCTTTTCTTCCTTTAAACTTTTGGTCTTTGAAACGAAGCGTGTTTCCGAAAATTTTGCTAGCCTCTCTGTGTCGCTCGCTTCTGTCTACCAGCACTGCCCGTTTAAAGCGCCCTGGCCGCGTTCCTGGACAACATTTTTAAACGAATTTTACAAACTTGAAAACCTTTTGACATCCCTAAATTTCCAGGGCTCCCTGGGCGCGATGAACATCTTGGGGCCGTTTGATGAGCCGAACGTGCGCCTGATGCCGACGTCAAGCAACGGAGTGGCGGTAAGTAACCCTAATTTTCAAGGCAAAAACAATCTAGGTCGACAGTCCCTTTAAAAATTTACACTTCCGGTTCTATAGCAAAGAATTATCTCGCGTAATTCTCATAGTTAAACCGCGGTTTATGGTGTCGAATATAGGCAAAAACTCAGAATATAGACGTCGTCAAGGCTCGCAACCGATTACGCTATGAAAAAGCGGATGCGCCGTGCGTTAAGCAAAAAAATGCTCGGCATTCTACAGACGAACCTACCCCATTAGCTCCATTACGCTCCTAATTATGCGGCGTAACGCCGCGCGTAGCCGCGCGTAAACTCCGTTTTTCCTGATTAATCTACAGTTGAACAGTTAACATATTTTTTAACTAAAACCCCGAAAAAACCAGTGAGTCGAAAGCCCGGGGTTCAGCCCCAACCCATTTTTTTTTGTCGGCTGGTTCCAGCCGGCGCGCGGGCGCGCTGCTGCAACCGAGCGCCGGGGACAAGTGAGCACGGGGTTATCGAAGGTCCTGGTAAAATTGATCCGAACGTGTTCCCGTCCGAGAACCTCACCCGCGCGCTGCCCCCGCCGCGCTGCAAAACAACAGCCCTAACCAGCCCCCCCTATATTGCCGCTGTTCTCGCCGAGTCATTGTAGCCGCCATGAGTTTCTGGGTGAGATGGGATTCGCGCCGTCAACAATCGGCGGCACTCTCTAGTTCTCGAAAAATTCGTTGTTTTTGTCGTTCGATGATCTAAAAATAAATTTTAATGTAAAAAACGATGCCCAGGCTATTTTTATGAAAATCTCAGCTTTCAGCACATGGTTAGGGCTTGAACTGCTCGCAAACCCTTTATTTTCCCGTCAGCTGATCCTAGAGAGAAATTTTATTAACTAGTCGTTTATTCAATTAAAATGCCTACCGTTTTTTCTATGAAAACCTGGCATTGCAGAGCTCGGAGACCGACGAGGATTTGAGCGCCTCCGAGAAGCGCAAGTACAAATCGTTCACCGTCATGCAGAAGGCCGGATTCCAGCATACAGAGTGGGTTATAAGCGCTCTAAAACGATAAAATATAAACTACAAAAACATTATCTAAATATCAGAACATCAAATTATCAACTACTACAAAATCCATCTATAAAACTTACACCGCCGAACGTTGCAGATACGTCAAAATCATGCTGCACCTGTGCAACGCCGAGCTGGCCATCAGCAGCGGATTCATGGGTGGTTCATTAAACGCGGCTGCGCGATGACCGGTACCACTTTTTCAGCGCACGGCATGTGGTGTCCGGGGTTTGCTGATGTGGCCGAGTATCAGTCGACGTGCCACATGAACGCCGTGGCGGCGCTGGTCGGCATCTTTGCCGCGTTGATCGGCATCGGCGCTGTGAATCGGTGAGCGAAAAGTCGAAGTTTTGGCGTGTGTCTGAAGGGTTATTTGCAACTGTTTTTAGTAGGTCTTTTAGGTCTTTTTTCAGGTCTTTAACTCTTTAATAAACGCGTTTGTACTTCCAAGCTGGTATTTTTGTAGGATATAACTATAAAAACAGCTAAAATCTATAGTTTAGAACCTAAATAATAACAGCCAGAAAGTAAAAAAGGAATCGAAAATATTTAGCTACCGAAAAATAGAAGTTAGAAAAGAAATAAATTAAGCTTTTCCGCGAGCTACTAAATACGGCAACAAAATCCCCTCATTTTTCCCGCAAGCAAAATCAGATCGCCCGCTCCAAAAATATCGACAAACCGTCTCTAAACCGAAATCTAGACTTTAGAAAACCTCAAACAAGAAAAAAAGGAAAAACTGAAGAAAGGCGCCATTTTCCAAACATTTTTCATACCCATTCGCATCCAGATTCCGATGGCGAACGATGCTGATCATGTGGCTGGTGATGAGCATCATTGCCGCCGTCGGCAACCTGCTCGCCGTCATCACAGACGGCATCTGGCTCGACCATCTGTCAAAGATGAAGGTAAGGACAAGCCTAAAAGTATAGATTTTAAAACGCACATTTTTAGGAGCGAACAGCCGCGGCCTCCGGGCTCTCCGGGCTGATGTTGCTGTCTTCAGTGGCGGTCGGCGTGTGCTTCATCCTCACCGCCGTCATGATCTGCCACTATTGGAATTCGAACTCCCCGCGATATCAGCCGGTCGGCAAATTTTCGGTGAGTAAATTGGCTGTCCGTTGCGGTCCTAGCGCCTACTTTTAAAGCCGTATTAAGCCAATTTAAGCTAGTTTTTCCAAATAATTTCTGGCTTATGGCGGCAAGCATAGCGGCTTAGTATCGAAAAAGCAACGCCAAGATTAAAACAGCAAATTTTTTGGTGATGATTCTCGGGCCGGAAATGCCTTGCCACGATAAATTGGGCTTTTGCCGCTCGAAGATCTTAAAAAAAGTCGAGAACGTAACAATTCGCGCCTTTCAGAAACGATCTCGCTCGGTCCGGCGGTCGCGCTTGACACGGCTCTCCAGCGGTCAGGAGCGGAAACGCATTCAGGACAAAGCCATCAAGGGAGCCCACATCGTCTAGTGGGCCGGCAGCGGGAGTCGACGACATTTCAGGGGACAAATCTATCAAAAGATGCTCAACAACTACTACGTGCAGTGATGGCTGAACTCGGGTCTTGTGCAATAAGAATAAATACTTTTTGAATCTACAATACGATAGGCACGACAAATATCAAGAACACTAAAAGGCATAGAAAACGCCTTTTCAGCATTTTAAGCCTTTTAAGACAACTTAAGTCCAGCGGCAATTTCAATTTCAGCAATCTGCATCCCAAATAATACCCAGCCTGATTAACATCAATTATGGAAAGCGTTTTTCCTCATATAAAAGACGGCTATAGCACTTCGCCGGCCATACATCTCTTCACCCGCACTCGGACGTCGAGCCCCCATCGGATGACGTTGCTGTGGCTGTGCATCGAGGGCATCGGCCTGCCCGCGCTCGTCCTCTACGCTGTTGCCGGATGTGGAGGGAAGAAGAAGCCGCCGCCAGCCAAGGCCGCACCGGTAGGCCTTGGTCTGGGCTAGTTTCCATACTTAACCGTTAGCATTGGACCTTTCAAATTTGGTAGTTTGCAAAATCTTAAAATTTGAAGCATATGCCCCTCTCAGGCCAAGCCGAAGCCTGCCGCTCCGGCCGCTCCAGCGGCACCTCCTCCCAAGTCGGCCGCCCAGCCGGCGCCTGCCGAACCCGCGGCGCCCGCCGAGGAGAAGAAGGACGACAAGACGCAGGAGCAGACGAAGGAGGGCGCCGCCCCGGAGGAGAAGAAAGAAGAGAAGAAGGAGGAGGAGAAGAAAGAAGAGGAGAAGAAGGAGGGTGAAGAGAAGAAGGAGGGTGACGAGAAGAAGGATGAGAAGGAGGAGAAGAAGGGCTCCAAGAAAGAGGGATCTAAGAAGGAAGGCTCCAAGAAGGAGGGGTCCAAGAAGGACGACAAGAAGGGCGGTAGGGGTTACGGTATAGCACCTCTTATTCACTCCTTTTAGGAAGCAAGAAAGAGGGTTCGAAAAAAGAGGGCTCGAAGAAGGAAGGGTCCAAGAAGGACGGTGATAAGAAGGATGATAAGAAGGAGGGCTCCAAGAAGGCTGGCGGATCCAAGAAGAAGGAGGGCTCGAAGAAGGATGAGAAGAAGGAAGAGAAAAAGGATGAGAAGAAGGTACGATCAGTACCATCAGTACTAACTAATTACCTGCTTTAGGAAGCCTCTAAGAAGAAGGAAGCCTCCAAGAAGAAGGAGGCGTCCAAGAAGAAGGAAGCCTCAAAGAAGGCGGCCAAGGACGAGAAGAAGGAGGGCGGTGACGAGAGTAAGTCTAAAGGCATTCTCAACCAATTTCTTCGACAGAAGTGACTGCCACGCCGAACGAGCTGCAGTGGGAGGAGAAGGGCGAACCGCAGACCGTGACGGTGAAGAACGCGGAAGGCGACGACCGCATTGCCGTCAAGCCCAAGTGTGCCGAGAAGGCCTACACGTTGGTCTCACCGACACGCTCTCAAAAAGCCTCTTTTAGCTTCGACCCGGCCTCCGCCTTCGTCAAGAAGGGCGAAAGCGCCGCCTTCAAGGTGACTCGTGCGGCGGGCGCTGTCAAAGCCGACACCATCGAGTTCCAATGGGCTAAGGCCGATGAGAAAGACAAGGACGCCGAGGAGATCTTCAAGAAGGCCGATCTCAAGCCGACCATCCTCGCCGTCAAGAGCGGACCGTAGGCGGCTGTACCATCCTGCTGGAAATGTTAATTTAGGAAGGCCGAGGGAGAGAAGAAGGAAGAGAAGAAGGACGAGAAGAAGAAGGAGCCCTCCGGCAAAGACAAGAAGAAGGAGGAAGAAAAGAAGGATGAAAAGAAGGAGGGCGACGAGAAGAAGGAGGAAAAGAAGGAAGAGGAGAAGAAGGAAGAGAAGAAGGAGGGCGAGGAGAAGAAGGAGGAGAAGAAGGAGGGCGAGGAGAAGAAGGAGGAGAAGAAGGAGGGCGAGGAAAAGAAGGAGGAGAAGAAGGAAGAGGAAAAGAAGGAGGAAAAGAAGGAGGGAGAGGAGAAGAAGGAAGAGGAAAAGAAAGAGGAGAAGAAGGAGGAGGAGAAAAAGGTAAGCCTTGCAAGCCAACACCAAAGTTATATCCGAATTCAGGAGGAGGAGAAGAAGGAATAGAAGGCGCGAACTCGACAGCCGGCCCCAGCGCGCAGCCCGACTCGCTCCCTCACTTGATATTGCTTTTTGTAGAAGGCGCTTTTCACTTTATTCGTCCCTTCCGTTATGTGCTCTGTCGTGCATCAATAAACGTTTTGTCAGGTTGGAGCACGGAATGCCATCGAACTCTGTGCAAAGAAAGCGACACCTACAACGTTCAGTATTCACGCCCTCGCCGCAGAGCACTGGGCGAAATTCACTTGCAAAAACATCGACCCTGGTCGCGAAAATGCCATGGTTGGCAAACCCAGATTCGCGCGTGTTTTCTGTGAAAAACCATGACAATTCATGATGGTATTAAAATGTTTATCAATCGTATACACAGGAAAAGTGCGGTGAATGAAATTGAAATGACTCGTATATGCCGTTGAAATATGCTTGTCCGAATCGAATGGATTAACGTAGCTTCTTAGATGGATCCCATCTCGCTTTGGCCGTCGTCTTCTTGTTGGTTGAGTTTCTCCATCAAAGCGTTGCATATATCCTGCAGCTCTTGGTTTTCCTTGACCTAAAGAAAACCAATTTAGTCAAAATTTTTATCCAACCTTGGCGTCGAGTTGTCCTCTAAGAGAATCTATCGCAGTCTGCTTGGTCGCCAGGGCCAGTCTGTCTCGTTCTGCCCTTTCTTCAACTTTGCGTACATGGTCGTTGGCACTAAAGAGACTTGAGGAAGCAATTATCGAAACATACTCGTTTAGTTTGTCCTGGCTGTGAACAAGAAGGTGCTGATATTTTTCTCCGACCGCTGCGATGTCGGCGTTTAGAACTTCGTGCGACTTCTTCCAGTCTTCATTCTGCTCTTTCAGATCCTTGATCAGGCTCTTCAGTTGGTCGATGTATGGGAATGAATTCTGGTAGGTGTCGTAGAGCTGTTTCAATCTGGAAAGAACAACGTTGAATAAAAATCCAATCACCCACTCATTCTGCAATTGCTGATGTTCAACCTTTAGCTGATCGTATTTGAGCGAGCTGGCGTTGTCGGTGTGCAGAGGTTGAACGCCCTTGCCTGCACGAACGATGCCTTGTCTTAGGTTGTCGACGAGATGATCTAGGCAAAGCACGTCGGATTTCGATTGATCGTATTTTGCCTAAACACAGAATTAGTCGGCGGAAACGTGTAAAAGGCGAACCTGTAGTTGCTCAACTTTTGCTGCCATTGCGGAGGCCACGAGACGTTCATTGCTGGTCATCAGAGAAATGACGGCACGCTCGGCTTCCTCAAAATTGCTGTCCTTTTTGGCCTTGGCAAAGATGTCCTGCACCGCGGTTATCGAGGGGGATTTGGCCGGAGAAACGACCATTGTCTTTTGGCGCTCAGGAATACGCCTACAAGCAAAATTGACATTATACATTCAAAGCTTACTGAATAGTCTTTCCCCCATTTTGGAGTCGTTCGGCGTTTGCCATGGTCGGCTTCGGTGTGAACGGCGCTTCGAGCTTCGGTTCGGGCATCGGTGGTGGGCTTGTTACTGGGCTTGGTGCCCTTTCCTCGATGATCTCAAATTCTTCGCCTTCTTCCGCAGACTTGTAGTCTTCGCCACCGCTCCGTGCACTTGTATCGGCCGCGGGCTCGCATTGATACCCATATACTGGATGTCGTGGCGGATCGACGGCAGGGTCGTCTTCCATTTTGCGAGAGCTGAAAAACATTTATCAAGTAAGACCTGGGACAAAAAATTCAATTCAAATTTCGCGAAATCTAGCAAACCAATGCTAAAAACGATCCGCATTACGATATCAGTTTCAGAAAGTCGAATCAATCAAAAACTTTACAAGTAATGCAGGCAATACACGAGATCGGGGTTGATCATTTGAACGGCCGGCTGGCTGAAACGTACCGGGGCGATCCGCTGTTTAGGAAGCAGCCGCTCGTCGGGGACCCCTCGAGGCGTGAAAAGAGCTCGCCGACTAGTCGGTGCATCCGGCTTCTTGGTTTCGGACGCTTGTCGGAACGTGAAGGAGAAATGCAAAATTATGCCCCCAGGCCGCTACAGTAACGCATTCATACGGTAGTTCGAGCACAAGACAAGGGCGCTCCGTCCGCCGGCACCGTCTATAGGTGTTTCGCGGAACCATTTTCCTACGCGTTCTCCATATTTCCTTTTTTTATTATTTTCCTTTTAGTTGTGAATTTTGGAAAAATATTCGCCCCCATTTTAGGTCCATCCATGCCCGACGGAAAATAATGGCAATCAGACAAGAACCATTCGGAGGCAAAAATATTGTAAGACACCTTTGTTTCTTACTGATCTACTCAGTTTAGATCAGCTTCCTCGAAGAAGCGACGATTAGGCTCTACCAAACAAGGCCCCATTACCTGGAATCTCAATCATTTCGTGGCCCGGTATGTGTGGAATTTTCGCAATCCATCTACTTCTTTAGGAAAAGATCTTCACATGCCTCTGCTCAATCAAAGGCCACCAGGGCAACGGCGCGGGAAGAAGTAAAAAAGAAGCTAAGGCGCGAGCGGCGTTCAGCACCATGCAGAGTGTTTGTAACCGGCAAGAGCACAACTTCTTCCGGATAAGAGGGGATACACACGAAGCGCGAATCGATTTTTTGTATGTTTTCTGCCCCGAGCTTGCACCTCTCTTTTTCCAGAAAGCAATGTCTTGGCATCGCTCCGACATACGCAGAGCCGGCCGTGCAAACCACTAGCACCGTTGCAAATGGAGGACCAATTTCCGATTTTGTCCAGCAATTGTTGCGTTTGTAAGTTTTCTAGCCTCATCAATTCTTCTCTCCTTTCCAGCTGTCAAGAAAAGAAACTTCGACAGCCCGAGCCGGTGATCAAGGAAGAGAGGAAGGACAAGATTCCGATTTTCGAAACGACGTACACGGTATTAATCACGTTCTACCAGACGGAATTCTTTAGATGGGCAGCATCAAAGTCTCTGCAATCGATGGCTCTAAGCAAAAATCGAAGAAAGAAGCTAGCCGGCTGTTGTATCTTGAATTGGTGAAGGTACGCACTTGCTCTGCTATCCAGTTTTGAACTTTCCGTTCAGGTCTTCGAAAACCCGACTATGCGCGCCGAACTGCCATTTCTCGCCGAGGTTCCGGCTGATGATGAACCAGCAGATCCCTCGATAGTGCAGCGGCCCGATTTTTCAACGGAGATGAACGTAATTTTTGTCGGGTTTATAATTTATCCAATCTTTTAGGCGCGAGCCGTCCAAATTTTAGCCGCCATCAAGAACCAAAGCCACGTCTTCCCTTACTTTGAATACCAATACGACAGAATCAAGGAACTCGACTCCGAAGGTGGTTGCCGATCTTCCTCCATATTTTGTCTTTAGGAAAGGTTCAAGTGATGGTCAAGATCGAATACAAACAAGAGCGAGACAAAGACAAGCGATACGCATGCTTCGGAGGTTACGGAAGAACTGAGGAAGAAGCCAAGACAATGGCTGCCCATATGGCTCTTTTATTATTTGGCACTTTTGTAGAAATTTCCTCGTTGACGATTTGATTGTTTCTGAAATGTCTCTGTGTTGTATTTTAGAGCTTTGCTTTAGTATCCCTAAATTCTCATTCCTGTGATCGTCCAATTATTCGGTGATAAAGTGCTTGCAGAAGCTTATGTGCGTTTGCTTTTTTGGGTCTAGCATCCTTGCGATTCCTGCAGATGGCTATAGGCTGGACCGCCTCCCAGGCCACCGTACCCAATGGGGCGATGACAAAAGGTTTGTTCAGCGTTCGAGGTCCCCCACTTGGAACGGGCTTCAGCCATCAACCAAGATGACCGACGCTTTGGCTCAGATTGGGATTTTTGTAAGTGTATTGCTTCCTTCTATTATGCCACGCTCTAGGATCATAACTTGAAAGCTGCCCCCTCTACTTCCGGCGATCTGTCACAGTTTGTGCAGAAAGATGTGATCGACGAGGACGACTACGCGAAGGTTTTATACTTTTTCACGACCCATCCTTTGTTTAGTACAAGAAAATCGAGCGTCAACTGGAGCACCTTGATGTCATCGAGGAGTACATCAAGCTTGAGACACGCAACTTGGAGAAGGAATTGCTTCATGCCCAGGAGGAGGTAATACCTTGCCAAAAATGTGACGTTCTTTTTAGGTGAAACGAATCCAATCAGTCCCGCTGGTTATTGGCCAATTTTTGGAAGCCGTAGACCAAGACCATGCTATCGTTGGATCGACTACTGGTATGGGAGGGTTTCGAAAACCAATTTTTGTTTAGGTTCGAATTACTACGTCCGAGTGCTGTCCATTTTGGACCGAGAGTTGTTGAAGCCCGGATGCTCAGTGGCTCTGCACAAATACAGCAATGCCCTCGTCGATGTGTTGCCCCCAGAGGCCGACTCTAGCATCCAGATGCTGCGCCCCGACGAAAAGGTATTCCAGAGTTTTGGGTGAACTTTTTATAATATTTTTGCGTGTGCAAATAGAAGGTCCTTTGAAAAATTGATTTTTATAGCCTGAGGTCGCTTACTCGGATATCGGAGGTCTTGATATGCAGAAGCAAGAGATGCGCGAAGCCGTTGAACTGCCGCTTACTCATGGAGAGCTGTACGCACAGGTTGGACAGAATTTTTGTTTCATAGTACGTTTTTAGATTGGTATCGACCCCCCTCGTGGCGTGCTGATGTATGGCCCTCCTGGATGCGGCAAGACTATGCTGGCGAAAGTATGGATTTACTTCCTTCTTATTTATATCTACTTTCAGGCCGTAGCTTCCCATACCTCGGCCTCTTTCATCCGTGTCGTCGGATCGGAATTCGTCCAGAAATACCTCGGCGAAGGTGCGGTGCTTTTTTAAACATATTAATTCGTATATCTAGGCCCCAGGATGGTGCGCGACGTCTTCCGGTTGGCCAAGGAGAACTCTCCCTCGATTATCTTCATCGACGAGATTGACGCCATCGCGACGAAGCGCTTCGACGCGCAGACCGGCGCTGATCGTGAGGTGCAGCGTATTCTTCTCGAGCTGCTCAATCAAATGGATGGTTTTGATCAGACCACGAATGTCAAGGTAAATATTTTTGTTTTTCCCGCCTTTGAGAGTACAATTACCTAGATTGGCTTTGTGAGAAATTACTTGTTCAGGTGATCATGGCCACTAATCGACAGGACACCCTCGACCCTGCCCTCCTTCGTCCCGGTCGCTTGGATCGCAAAATCGAGTTCCCGCTCCCGGACCGCAGGCAGAAGCGCCTCGTCTTTTCAACAATCACCGCTAAAATGAACCTCGCCGAGGATGTCGACCTCGAGGAGTTTGTTGCTCGACCGGACAAGGTCTCCGGTGCCGATATCAATGCCATTTGCCAAGAGGTAAGCCTTTATTAAGCTGCTTTTATTTCCTTATGTTCAGGCCGGTATGCACGCCGTTCGAGAGAACCGCTACATCGTGCTCACCAAGGATTTCGACAAAGCCTACAAGAATGTCATCCGCAAGGACCAGAACGAGTTCGAATTCTACAAATAAACGAGTCACCTGCAGCCCGACCCCGGTTCCGATTGAGTTTGTATTTTTATTCGATTTTTTCGCTTTCTGCATAAAATAACTGCTGAATTGTGTGTCGCGTGTGATATGGCGCCCACTGGTTATTTATTCGTCAAGCTTATACCGGAATATAAAGCATATTGCGGCAATCTTTCAATTGGCCTGTCTGCGTCGAGTAGTGATGGATTCGTAGTGACGGTCCCGGTCGAGATAGTTACACGTGTTCATAATCTGTTCCTTGACCATTTTCATTTCATCGGAGGTCAGGTAGTCGGAAACGATGTCAAAATCACCGTCGTCGACGAAGGACGTGGAGACGTTGACTTTTTGCTAAAAGTATTGGTTGGGAAAGCCAATGTTCCCACTGACGCCCAAGAAAATTATCGGCTCTTTCCTTTTGGGGTCGATCTCCACGTCTCTCCGACGGCGGATAGCGATCAGGATGTGCTGAAAGGGGGTTGTCGTTTTTTAATACTGCTTTAGGGTCGAATATTGTGAACTTACATCATCCGATGCAGCTCTTCTCGATCGTTCCTCCTCACCCGAACCTGACGAGTCGCGCGACGGCTCCGGGGTGCTGCTGCTGGCGTTATCCCACTCGTATTCTGGCTACACTATTTGGTCTCAAATACCCCGTCATACACCTTGCACACAATCTTCCGTTTGACGGCATTTCCCTTGCGGTAGATGACCCATTGGGTGGAGAGGGTTAAGAATAGGGAGAGCACGAGGAGGTGGCGCATCATCTAGGAACGGAACAGGGTTGTGTATTTTCTAATTTGATGATTTCACGAGTTTAGAAAATTAGAAAATTAGATAAAAGAGAAAACAAATCGCATTCAGTGAAAATTTTAGAACAGGAACGGAACAGATGAAAACTGAAGGTAGACAAACGCAAAACGAGTTTAATACCGACTGGATAGACAGACGCGCTGAACTTGTTCGGCCACGTTAAATGACCCGACGTATTTTAGTGCCGACGGTGCAGGCCGGTAGCAATACCGGCTAGTTTTGACCGCGAGGAATCGGTTGTAAAGAATAGGAAATTGACAGGCGGGTGGACAAGAATTCGAGAAGAGAACGTAAACGCGCTAAGCTCCGCGCAGCCCTTGAAAGGGGAGGCACAAGAACGATAAGCCGATTTCGGCCTCCCTCCCCCAAACTCCTGCGCGACGATCCACGACGACAGGGGCGAGACGAGAGCCACGTTTTCATGGTCGTTCTGCACGGCTAGGCGGTGCAATGCGGGATTTTTTGGAGGCTACTGGAGGACGAAAACTTAGATGACGATGTGTTTTGAAAGCGATCTGTATTGTAAGTGCTCGTGTTTGTAGCAGTTCATCGGCGTTCAGAGAAACTATTTATGGAAAACACCCAACAACCCGAATATGATGATATCCAGCAGACGACATTGTCTAAAGTAAGAGCCCGATAGATATGAGGTGTTGTGGGTGCGTGTTTTTCGAGTGTTGGGTTGCCGGCGAGTAGTGGTGGTTGCGCGTCGACGTGGTCTAGTCGCGCGCCGACGGGGGCGAGTTCCGTTCCGGGGTCGGCGGCCGGATGCTGAAACATTAAAGTTTTTGATTTCAACTTCTTAGGGGAAAAAATAGGCTTCCAAAACTTTTCTACCTGGCTGCCCTTGCCCTTCGCCGAGTCGTCGTCAATGTTGTCGTTATTGTTGTCGTCCAATGGTGAGCTGCTCTTTCTAGCCAGCTTGCTGTCCTGAAAGTTGTTTGCCTGTTGTATTTCCGGTTTTTCCAGACCCACCTTCGACGTTTTGGCCGCCTTGGTGCCCGGAGAGCTCGCTTCGTGGACACTCTGAAATTGTGGTGTCGGGTGGTAATTTGAGGCTATGATTACGGTCAGCGTCTGGCCAGTGAGGGTTTTGTGGACAGGATGATCGGCGTGCGGCTTGAAGGCGGCCGTCCATTCCTAGAGGATGAGTTTTTAGTCTAGTTGCGCCTAAAAGCTGGCAGAAATAGCGGTTTACCTTAGTCCTGGCGTACTGGACGATCAACTGTGCGACGGCCACCATCACCACGTAGGCAAGGGGGAGCAACAGCAAGAACCAGCGCAGCAGACGCTCCGGCGTCCACTCGTTCGGGTCATTGCCCTCCTTTCTAAAAAAAAGAGAATTTGCCATTTCAATAGACGCCCTACATCGCCTTCTTCCCCTCCTTCAGAATGGTCATCTGCATTTGGTCGATGCTAACCCAGATCATAACCTGAAGATGGCATGTTTTTGCATGTGATTTGCAAAAGACGCACCGAGGCGACAATCGGGATCGAGATGGCCCAGCTAAAGATGTGGTAGTAGCCGCCGCCATGGCCGAACGTCATGTGCAAGCCGTCCCTCGCCAGCCCGAACATTACCTCGAGGTCACGCTTGAAACGGAACACACCTGAAAGACGTAATTCTCAGCGCTTTATTTAGATTCCGACTGCACGTATCGCATCGGAAAATTTATAAGCCGTAAAAGTACCGTAAAAGTGGTAGCACGCCAAGTACTGTAGCACGAGCATAATGTAGACGGTGATGTTCGCGATGGCATAGTCGTAGATGTCAATGTAGTCTCCAGTCTTCTGTAAGTACGCATTTGCCCAAAAAAAGCTGGGGGCGGACCTTGGTCATGATCGGCATCCCGGTGATGAACAAGCAACAGATGAGCACTATCGAAACCTAGATCGGTGCGGATTAAGCGCAGTCGCAACACGAGCCTCACCGTGGTCGACCTCTTCTGAAGCTGCGGCACCGAGTCGGTGACGAAGGTGACGAGATGCTTCATGGCAACTGCAATTGGGTAGTAAACTCTAACAACCTTTCGTACCAATGATCGTCGAGAAGCCGAGCAGGAAGAGCATCAAAAAGAACAGGCCGTTCCACAGCCACGGCATCGACATCGTCGCGATGCCTTCCGGATAGGCGACGAAGGCGATCAACGGCCCTGAAAGGGTTGATGCTCAAAATGCCAATTTTTTTAAATATCCGTAATCTCCATCAAAGCCCATATAAATCAGTCATATACTAAAAACTATTATCTTATTACCAATATTAGCCTGTAAATCCGACAAAGACGGTACCTCCGATGTTATTCGGGTTATCGGGATCGAGCAGCATGCCCACATCCATATTCCGGCTGTGCGCCATGTGGCCGAGGATGGAAAAGACGGCCGTGCTCCCGCCCAACGACATGAACATGTCGGCCAGGATGATGATACAGCCGTCCTAAAGCGACCGGTCGTAAAATAATACTTTTCGCGCCTACACGTAGTGATTTCGTATTCGGCGGGTTGAACGAGGCCATCGTGGGATAGGCGCCGTAGCCGAGGCACAGCGACAGACACATCTGGCTGAAGGCGGCGCTCCAGGTCTAGGGTGGTGTTTTAGAGTTGTCAGAAGTTATTTTCTAAACCTTCAGCTCCCAGAGTGCCGACCACCTGGCATCGGTGAAGAAAAAGGCAAGGCCCAGGCCGGCGCCGCTCAGCGTCAATCCGCGCACCAGCAGCACGGCTGAATGATGGATAGAAATAAACACAAAATCACCTACAGACAACAATGTAGGGGATGCTGGTGGTAACGTAGGCGATGCGGCCCATGATCCGAACACCCTTCCACACGACCATAAAAGCCGCAACCCACAGTATCGCCATGACGCCTGGAAAAAGGAGGAAAATTTTATCGACGGGAGCCACTGAATTTCTCCCTAAAAATAAAGTTATGCCTAGCAATAAATTTTGAAAATAAACTTCGTATCCCCTTGGTTACCCCGCCGATAAACGAAACGATCAAAAATAGTTCTATCACCAGAGCCTACCAGCGTGCTTCCAGTTCATCATATACGAATCCGGGTCACTCATCTGCCCGAAAACGTAGTTGCTAAAAACCCATGGATATCAGAGGAAACAACTCGACTTACACAAGGAATTGTTTTGCCGGGAAGGCACTGTCGTAACTGATCGGGTCAGTGCTCGACACGCATCCGATGCTCTTCTTAAAGCTTTGCCCGGCGCCACACTCGGCGTCGTTGATGGGCGACCGGCATTCTAAATGGCATCAGACAGATATTAGTCAAAATAGCTACTGTCGGTGTTCCAGGCATTGTCACATCGAGTCCAGGACTGGCTGAGGTCGAGAACCACGTAGAGGCTAAAAATGTGTGAAAATCCGTCTGATCAATCACTTACAGGTAAATGAACGACCAGCCGGTGATGATATAGTAGAACGACACCAGGATGTAGACCAGCGTCGTCTAAAACTATTCCTGAAGCGACGAATAACCGGCCAAATCACCTGTGCCATGCCAATACCAGCTAAAACCGGCATGTATAGATAGTAGCAACGGCCGCTTCCTTTCTAAACTACTTATTTTCCAAGTATTAAGACAACTGCTTACCTGTGTGAATTGCCCGATCCACTGCTCGAAGAACAACATCGGCACGCCGAGCAAGAAGGTGCAGATAAAGTAGGGGATCAAGAACGGGGCTATAAAAAGGATCAGAAATGTAAACACAAAAAGTTTACCTCCTCCATTTTCAACGGCGACGAAAGGAAAACGCCAAACATTTCCCAGTCCAACCGCACAGCCGATGATCGTCAACAGGTAGGCGGTTGTCGAGGCAAATTGTTCGCGCTTTTCTAGAAAATTTTAGAAATCCGTAAATTATCCAGTTGACACACCTTGCAAGGTACTCGACGAGCGCCGGGCCAGCGATTCAGCATTTTCGTCGATCTGTGTGAAGTCGACGACAGCTGAGCGTGCCGAAGGTGGCGGCCGGGCCGTAGGAGGAGGAGGAGGCGGTGGGGGAGGCGGTGGCGGAGGCGGAGGTGGCGGCTGTTGCGGAGGAGGAGCTGCTCGACGCGGCGACTCCGCGGGCGGAACTTTTGGGTGTTCGTCCGCGGGCTTGTCCAAGATCGGCTGCATGCGCGTAGCGTGCGTGCCGGTGGACTTGGCGGTGGGTACCGTGTCGCCCCGCTTCGAGCTGTTTTTCGGGCTTTGCTGGCTCTTCGGACTTTTCGGGCTTTTCGGGGTCTTCTTGCTCTTGTCGCTCTTCTTGCTACTCTTGCTCTCCTGGCTTTTGAGCTTTGAAGGGGGGCTGGGCGCGTTTCGACCGGAGGCGTCAGCTAAAAATAAAAATGCATGATTTTGCGTCGATAACAGCAGCGCTAATTCAGTGCAAGCTTTTAATTATGTCCGGGCGAATTGGGCAAAATATATTTGTCTTGGGTGACAGAGAGCTCTTTCTTTCTAGAGACAAAACAAAAACGTTCAGGGGAGGGGGGTGTCCATGATCGATGATACAACGACATCAATTCCAACACTTTTTAAACGATAAATTTACCTTGGGTGCCAGCTAGCTCCGTATCGGACAGCAGCCCGGCCGTCGCATCGTTCGCCGTGACAGTGCTGGCTTTCGGGGCGGCCATCTTCGAGGCGTCCGGCTGGGTGGCCTTCTCCTTCTTGTCATCGTCGGGCAAATACAGTTCTTCATCTGAAAATCAATCTTTAGTTAGGTAGAAAACCCACAGGAAAGAACGAGATAAGACAAAACACAAGAAAACCAACAAGTTGGGTCCTTCACCATCTCGGCCGCAGTTTGAGCTGCCGAAGGCGAGAGGTGCGGATTTTCAGAATGAAAAGCCTCCGCACTTTTTCTTTTTCGTCTGATTTTCAGGATTCAAATTGCACATCCGCTCGCGTGTCGTGAGTACACAACCACAAACAATTTATTAATCGAGAAAACCGCGTTTTCCAAGTACAAATATGCACAACTAATAGCCGTAGACACGTCTAAATGATAATCGATCTAGCTTTTTAATGTTTAAGGTAGTTGGAGGGGCGCGAGTCGGTCTTCACGTCTTCTTGCCGCTTTTGGCCATGCCGCTCTTCACGACGTGGGCCTCACGGCTTCTTCCGGTCAGACCGCTCTTGGCGACGATGCCGCTCTTCGTGGCCACGCCGGCCAGTTGGGCCGAGGCCACCGTGTTTGTCGTCGCGGTCATCGTTGGTTCGCGTCGTCCCTTGCCCTTATCCGCCTGAAAATTTAGTAATTGTAAATTTATTTTAGTAATTTAGTAATTGAATAGGTTTGTTTGCTGACGATTTAGGATTCTGGGTTGAAAAATCTATATTTCTGTTTTTCTTGCTTTGTGGAGGACATTTCATGTTTTAAGTAAAAAAAACGGTTTAGAAACAGTACTACCTTTGTGAATTTTGCCGGCTTCATGGTCGGCGCCACCGGTGCATTAGGTTTTTCTAAAAGCCGAATGGCGTTTTCCACATCAATTTGCGCTCACGTTGTTGCGACACCTTATTCGTGCGTTGAATGTTGACGTGAATGTTGATCTCTGGAAAGCGATGAGTTGGGATGATTCGGCTGGGCACTAAACCTGATCCCTGGGTGCATGTGGCTAGTTGCAGCTCGCGCGCTTCGTTTTCCTGAAGAAATCAGCAACGTTCTGCGAACGCCTACCCTCTTCGACTCCTGGCACGTCCTCTCATCAAGCGGAGTAATCCTGAAAATGGGCTTTGCAAGATATCTTGATTATTCGGTAAAATTTTAAGCTTCCTGGACCTATGGACTTCAGAAGGAAGAGGTCGCAGCAAGGGTGGAAATATAAACGATTTCAGGCGGCGATCAACTTCGGCAACGGTATCCTAAGAGGTTTTTGCTATATTTAGTAAAGTGATCCCGGTACCTCATCCGGTGGCATAGCCCCACTGCGATCCGGGCCGCCGCCGGCGTTGAACAGCGCGGCAACACTCGTCTTCGGGGCTGCAGGGGCCTGAGATAGAGTTTGGAGAAGCTAGGCCAAGTTGGCTTACAAATGCACAATTCTCGAACACTTCCGCCTGGTCGGGGTGGTAGACGAACTTGGAGCGGCTAAACGGCATGCGTGTCAAGTTCAGCTGTGCCTACTTTGTAAGTGACTTGACTTCGAATGCGCGTATCGTCGGTGCGTCGGAAATTTGTGTGCGCATCACTAAAATATAGGTAATTCAGTTAATGCTGCCGCAGGTTCTCACCGTGCATCATTGACCGAGGTTCCGGATGCTTCTTCGGTTTTGGCGCCACCGCAGGGGTCGGCTGTGGCGACGGAGCCGGAGTTGGCTTGACGGGAGTGGCCGGCGGTGGTGGTGCTGCTGCTGGCGCTGGGAGTACCTAAGGTAAAATGTAAATCATAAAAAAAACAGGTAACCCTTACTCTTGGTTTGACGGGCCCTCCAACTACTGCTGGCTTCTTGATCGGTGGTTTGGCGGACGCTTTCGAGGTGGCTGAAATAGGAAAATATTTTTCGAACCATTAGAAAGCCCTGACGTTTTGGCTTCTTCTTTTTCCGTACGCACATCGAGTCGCGTCTAGGTCGGCATGTGACGAATAGGAGCTTAGTAATGGCATAGAATATTTGACTTGTTGGGTAGTGGCCGGCGATATTCAGCGGTATTCAAAAACCCCGAAGATTCAAAGTTTGTTGCTTTTATGAATAATTGGGTTCTGGATTCTTAGCGGGGGAGGGGAAGCCGCCTAGTTTTTTTTTTGGTAAACGATACTAACAGTTTTTGCGAGATTGGGCAGTTTTGACCAAAAATAGGCATTTGAGAATTTTCTTATTTTTCTATATTTTCTATATTTAAAACCGGCGTAAAGGGTGATAAAAAACGGCCGGTATTTCATTCCTGACATCCCAGTTGCGATACCCAGAAGCTAGGTTTGCGCCTTTTCTTCTTCCTGAAATGATTTTGGCTCATCCATCTTCCCGGAAATGCGCCCAATCAGGGCCACCTATTTACGGGTCCCATTTTTGGCGGGCCCAGGTAATCGCCGTGGGCCGGTTTTTCCGGGGTCGAATTGGCCCTTTCCGGGGGGCTCCTCCCCTGTGGGTGGCCCTGTCCTATTTGCAGAGTGATCGTGGGGCTTCTGGAGTGAGAACCGTATGGGGGTGATGGGATCGAGGGGCCCTCGGGCAATGAGCCCCCCGAATACAAACAGTTGTCTTGAGAGGGGGGCGACTGAGAAGTCTGGAATCGGGTTCGACCCCTCCCTATTGTCTTCCGATGATCCTATTCGGAACCCCGGGCGGGGCCGCGGGGCTGGTTGGTCACCGCGCCGGGTTGACCGGAAAGTTCAGAAGAACCCTGGCGAATCAAAAATACGGAACTGTGAGGTGGCTGGGGTGCAAAGTAATGGCTTTTGTGGAGTTTTCTCATCGAACAGCTTTTTTGTTGTCCCTAGCAAATAAAAAAACCCTTGTTTTATCGGCGCTGTAAAGCCCAGGCCCAGGGAGTTGTACGTATACACCTATGAACACCTATGTCTCTCCCGCTCAGTCTCTATCCGTCAATTGGTGTGTACGTAGTAAAACTCGGACCGCGCGTCGTAAGAGAAACACGGATATGCGTGCCTGTGACATCTTCTGGTCCGAAAACAGACTATCAAGATTCCTACCCGATGTCAAACCATCTTGCAAGACATCCCATCTGTCTCCTAGACTAAACCGTAGCTTTCAAATAGTTCACCCGATTCCGCAACCCGACCCCGTCGGCGAATATTCAAAACGATTCCAGAAAAATCATGGACTCCACCCCTGTTTGCACATGTTGCTGCCCGCCGGCTGGATGTTTGCGCGCGTAATTCACAGTGCGGGAATGGGGGTGAGGCCCTCGGGGGCGTTCCCGATCCAATTTTTTTGGTATAGGTGAGACGCCTCAAGGGGCTCGCCTGGAGGTGCTCGGAGTTCCCGCTATCATCCACCCTCGATCCGCGCACGATAGGCCCCATCCACGCAACAATCAGCCGGCGTCGATTCGAGAGCCACACTATCAAAGCTATAGCCCGCGCCGCTGCTGTACTGTAACCTGGAGGCTTTTATATTAATTGAAACTGCAACCTTTTGAAGCCGTTCACCCGAATGCGCCAGCTTTTCTTGGTAGCCAGCCTGTTGTGGCTGGCGGCAGGTACGGATTTGGAAAACCTATAAATTCGAATGCAAGCTGCCCTTTTTCGAGGCACTCGATTCGTCAAAACCTTTTCCTATACGTTTCCTAAAACCTTGATGTCCTGGTGACCATCCTAACATGACACTCATATGAGTGACATTCGTATGATCATAACGTCACTACCAGGGTTTCAAAACATGGCCCCGGGCCAAACGATCTATTTACACTAAAAGCACTCATCCTCATAACAAACGAAAAACGACGGCCTCTTCAGGCACCCCACCCGTACAGCGTGTATGTCAGGAGGGTGATGATTGCTCGGCGTGTACCGTGGAGCGATCAGTGGCCGGAAACTGCACGGACGCGGACCAGAAGGCCGCCTTTTACTACTGTAACCCGAGAACAAAGTGCGTGTTTGGTGACCACAGCCAAGAGATTCACGTAAAGTAGTTTTCCCCGGTGGGAGAAAAAGCAACCAAATACCCAAAAAACCACAAATTTTCAGAAAGATCAACGTAGAGTCCGCTTCGTTCCTCGAGTGCCAAAATGGAACCTGGAAGCAAGCCGAGTGTCCGATGAGCGAACGACACTTTTCGTTAGCTACGCTGAATTGCACCGATCCTGTGAAGTGGACTTTTCACGCACAGGTATGTCACCGTTTATCGACTCACAGAGCAAGCAAAAAAAAATTTGAACGTACAATGTTTGCAAATTAGAATGGGGTGTTGGGGCGTTCCTTGATCCAAGCGGCAATCTGCGGGATCTCGTCCACACGCTTCTTCAAGGCTTGTACTTTGGGGAAGTTGTCGAAGGCATCAGCATGATGGAGCAGGATAGTTGTCATATGATCGGCAACGACCAGATCGGCCCATGTCACCGAGTCTCCGACCTAAGACAGAATAATAAGCTGGCAATTAACCGAATCTTACCAAGAAACCAGTGCCATTTTTCTCCAGACGCTCCTCCAAGTTGCCGAAGTACTTGTCCCTGGCCGGAATGTAGACGGTCTTGTAAAGCTCTTGCTAAAACCGGATATTAGGACCAATAGCACGTACGTAATAGCAATTATCAAAACAAAGCGTTACCTTATCTCCCTTGTTCATGAAGCCAAGAGCGGTGTAGTAGTAGTCGGTGATCTCCTTGTAATAGTCCTTGAATCCATCAACGATCGCGTCAACCCACGCCATTTGAACCGGGGTCTGACCGCCGAAGCCTAGAATCAAAATTAGACTAAAAGCCACGAGGGGAAAGAGTTACCAAATTTGCGGGCAACGAATCGGGCGATGGCCGACGATTCCGGGATCTTCTCACCGTCCACCTCGAGCACAGGCATCTTGCCGAACGGCATTGCTAAAGAAGAATATAGAGCCACAAAACCGGAAACTTACAAGCTTTATGGTTGGGCCACTGGGTTTGATCGATGCGCACGTCTTCAAAAGCCTCATCAGCCAGCTTGAACATCATCCTGGTGGGCTCGGCGAAGCCGCGGCCGGGGAAATAGTAGAGCTTGAAGACCATTTTCCACCTGGAAACAGAAAATGGACTCTGGTTCAAAAATGGCAGCGGGTAGCGAGTGCGAACGGGGCGGGAGGACGGAAATTGAGTAATTTTGTAGGCAGGGCAGGGGCGGGCGTCAAGGCCGGAAAAGTAAACAGGGGCAAAGGGGTCGCTGAATTGAATTGGCACACAAGCGCCACAGACTACAAAAAGCACAATTCGAGTCAGCAAGGGACGCCGGAAAACACGGAAACCACAAAAAAAAATAGAGGTGTGGGAATCAAAACAAAACATGGTGTTTCGGGGAAAATTTTGTGATTTGTGAAATGATGAATAAGCGCTGCGCGGATTCAGGGCGAACAAAATTACTGTGGTGGCAAAGAGCGCTGTCTAGAAAACAGAAATACAACCGTAAGGTGGCGCATTTCGTTGTCGTACAGCAACCCAAGTAAAAAGACGTTTAGAAATGAAAAATTATAAAAATTACGATTAATAAGGTATATAAACACTTCAAATTGTCTTAGGAAACCACACCAAATATTCGGCTTTTCAGGGCACGTCAGGCTCGGGCCGTGTCGGCGATGTGTGCTCGTTCAACACCGACTGTCTGCAGGGCATGTTCTGTGCCCTCGGAAGCTGCCGATGTCTGTCAACGTATATCGCTGTTGACGCCTACTGTTATGAGAGTCAGCTTCTTTATTTTTTATGGTCTCGTGCATTAGCGGGGGGGGGGGGGCGTTTCTCCATAGTAATGAAATATACTCCGTTTTCATACTATTTTCCGATTAAAAAGTTATAAAAAGTGTAAACGTCTGTTAAAATTTGTAAAAATTTAGTTCCCCGTCTCAAAATATTTTTTAGAAATCTCACCCTCGGAGTCGGGATGTTTCTACGACACCCAGTGTTCGTCGGTTTGGCCAGATGCCTACTGCAAGAACGGCATGTGTTTGTGCCCAAGCGAAGAGATGAAGGCGGTCAAGACGAGGTTTGTTATTTTAAGCTAACTGGTTAATACTTCGGTTTTATCTTTAAGGTATAACCTAAAAGCCATATCGTTTTTAATATAGCTTTAATGCCTATTTTAGAGACGGGACGATGTGCGTTTGGTCCTCAGCTGGCGAACCAGCTTGCCCATTGCCCAGTTTGCCTCCACCCGACAGTCCAGCAGCCCTGGTGAGTACTCGGCTTCTCGAAAATTACAAAAAGTTGGAATTATTGTTTGTATAAAAATGGTTAGAATCTTAACACTATGAAACTGTTATTTTCTAGGTAGTACTCCCGGCAACCGGCGCCAAGACGTCAGTGACGATCGCTAGCTGCAACCCTTACAGGTCGGTGCTTCCCTTTGTTCATTAATAGAATTTTTTCAGCAATCAAGCCCCACCCACCGAAGAGGAGTTGGTGATGAACCCGCACAATTTCAAGTGCTCCGTCAAGCCGACGCTGAGCAAGGCAAGGATTTTGGAGCTAGTGCGATTTTTTTTTGCAGCCTGGCGACGAGGCGATCCCTGTTGACGTTTCGGACATCTACGACTGCATCGATAATTCAGTGTTCTGGAAAGCGCAGGGTATTGAGTCGAATGCTCATCCGATCGGCGTTTGTTGTATGAACAGAGGTGGGCTTGGATTCATCAGAAGTTTTCGAAAACGATATTTCTGAAAATCAGCATTTCAAAAAATTCATAGTACCGAAATCAAGTAGGAAATGACGATAAAGGGGAGAAAAAAATGAGGAAATTCTGATTTTCGAAAAAGTGATTATCGGAAAATGACTTGTCGAAAAAGTCTCCCACTTAGAATTATATTGCTTTCAGCATTCACCTGCATGCAGCCAAGGCGAGGCGAGAGCGATGGACTCGGCGCCGTTCCAAGGTCCGAATTTAGCTGGTTCCTAATTGGATATTTTTATTTTTAGGTGGTGGTTCAGCGCGGTCACAGGCTCATGCCAGCAATTCCTCTTTGACCCCACCTCGGCCGATGTTTCACCCAACAACTTTGAGACGTTGGATCACTGCGAGGCTTTCTGCAAGGATAGTGAGTTAAAAGAAACAGCGTAACCTTCCTCCTTAGCGTGTCCTCGCGGTAACCCGTCGTACGCTGCCTCGAAATCCCATCTCGGCCAAACGCCGCAAGCCGGATGCACGATCGCAGCGCCTTGCCCCGACCCCTATCAATGCACTGAAGTCGCCTCCCAAAGCCTATGTTGTCCTAGTCGAAGTATGATCAGCTCCTAAATCACATTAACCAAAATTTAGAAAACATTTGTTCGGATGCGGGCGGAAGGCTGAAAGACCCGCTTCGGCCCTATCCTTACGACCCTGGGATGCGCTTTGATCAGATTACCGGTGAGAAGGCTGACTATGCATTTGGGCTAACGACTCGGTAAGTCATTAAGCAGCTTCATAAATTTTATTTGTTTTTAGATATTACTACAACCCACATGATGGCCAATGCCACCCATTCACCTACAACGGCTTCCTCGGCAACTTCAACAACTTTGCCAATCAAGCCGATTGCCAGCTCTTCTGCGCTAAGCGTATGTAATTTGCCGGTTGCAACGAAAATTCCATTGCAGTACAATGCCCGAATGGAAATCCGTTGACTACTGGTGGTGGCGCACCGCAGCGGTGCCAACGTGATTCCGACTGCCCCTCCACGCACACGTGCAGCACCGAGCACGCTGTGTGCTGCCCCACGCCACGTCAGTTCGTTAGAAAATTTTGACGTTATTGGTAACTCAAAATAGTGCAAAAATAAGTTGGGTTCGTTAGTATTGTTCGCGGAGATCCGAATTTGTTTCCTATGTGTTTAGATATGCTTATTTTCCCCGAAAAATTTATAGACATAATACAATTTAATGTTGTAAACCTTATTTTGGAGAAATTTAGCTGTTTTTAAGTGTAAAATATTTTTCAAAGGCGAAAAACTTGAAAATCTGTTCGAAAAAATCTGTATTTTGTATTATGTTTATAAACTGTTCGGGAAATTGTTATTTTGTGAGTGGTCAAAATTCATTTTATTTCTTTTTGTTTCTATCAACTATAATAATTTTGTTGTGGTCTCCGTCTGTCTGTGTGAAGCCGAATTCAACTCGAAGGGGAAAGGAGCTAGAGCTTAGCTCTCTTCGGATTCGGATAGAGCGTGCTCGGAAACCCCCAAACTGATAAAAAAATTATGAAAAAGTTTTAGTTTAAATTATTAAAATTAACTTTGAAAGTTTTTTCCTTAGTAAAAGGGGTGGGGGAAGGAGGTTGGGGCGATTTTGGACGTAGTGAGCCAGGTCGCGCGCGTTTCGTGGATGAAAATTTTCACGGGGGATTTCATTTCTTTTTTTCTCTCATTCCATCCGGTCGGTCGTTATTTTTGTTTTTTTAAGGGGATTTCAGCCATGGGGTGTATCTGAAGCCATCAGGGAGGTATCTAGGTAGTTTTGGAAGGGATTTCAGCCATGGGGTGTATCTGAAGCCATCAGGGAGGTATCTAGGTAGTTTTGGAAGGGATTTCAGCCATGGGGTGTATCTGAAGCCATCAGGGAGGTATCTAGGTAGTTTTGGAAGGGGATTTCAGCCATGGGGTGTATCTGAAGCCATCAGGGAGGTATCTAGGTAGTTTTGGAAGGGGATTTCAGCCATGGGGTGTATCTGAAGCCATCAGGGAGGTATCTAGGTAGTTTTGGAAGGGGATTTCAGCCATGGGGGTGTATCTGAAGCCATCAGGGAGGTATCTAGGTAGTTTTGGAAGGGGATTTCAGCCATGGGGTGTATCTGAAGCCATCAGGGAGGTATCTAGGTAGTTTTGGAAGGGGATTTCAGCCATGGGGTGTATCTGAAGCCATCAGGGAGGTATCTAGGTAGTTTTGGAAGGGGATTTCAGCCATGGGGTGTATCTGAAGCCATCAGGGAGGTATCTAGGTAGTTTTGGAAGGGGATTTCAGCCATGGGGTGTATCTGAAGCCATCAGGGAGGTATCTAGGTAGTTTTGGAAGGGATTTCAGCCATGGGGGTGTATCTGAAGCCATCAGGGAGGTATCTAGGTAGTTTTGGAAGGGGATTTCAGCCATGGGGTGTATCTGAAGCCATCAGGGAGGTATCTAGGTAGTTTTGGAAGGGATTTCAGCCATGGGGTGTATCTGAAGCCATCAGGGAGGTATCTAGGTAGTTTTGGAAGGGGATTTCAGCCATGGGGTGTATCTGAAGCCATCAGGGAGGTATCTAGGTAGTTTTGGAAGGGATTTCAGCCATGGGGTGTATCTGAAGCCATCAGGGAGGTATCTAGGTAGTTTTGGAAGGGGATTTCAGCCATGGGGTGTATCTGAAGCCATCAGGAGGTATCTAGGTAGTTTTGGAAGGGGATTTCAGCCATGGGGTGTATCTGAAGCCATCAGGGAGGTATCTAGGTAGTTTTGGAAGGGGATTTCAGCCATGGGGTGTATCTGAAGCCATCAGGGAGGTATCTAGGTAGTTTTGGAAGGGGATTTCAGCCATGGGGTGTATCTGAAGCCATCAGGGAGGTATCTAGGTAGTTTTGGAAGGGATTTCAGCCATGGGGTGTATCTGAAGCCATCAGGGAGGTATCTAGGTAGTTTTGGAAGGGGATTTCAGCCATGGGGTGTATCTGAAGCCATCAGGGAGGTATCTAGGTAGTTTTTGAAGGGGATTTCGGCTGTGGGGGGGGGTTGATGGAGGTGGGAAAGGATGTGGTGGAGTGGGACATGTAGGGTAGCCCGAAGGCCAGATGGTTGCAGTCGCGAAGCGACTGTAACCATCTGGTTGGGAACATTTTTATTGTTTTATAAAATCAGATCCTAGGGAAAATCTAATCTACTCCAGAAATATTAGTTAAGCGTAAGTGAAAAAAACAACTTGCAATCAACGTATTTATAAAAAAACACTTAAATATAAAAATTTTTAGAAACCCTCTGCACTGAACCGCTTCGCGTCGGCGACTGCAAGCAGAGCGTCCGCTCTTTCTGGTACAACGCCGAGACGCGCCAGTGCGAATCATTCATGTACACCGGTATGATTCCGTCTTGGCTACGGTCTATTTTACCTTTTCCAGGCTGCCAGGGCAACAACAACCGCTTCAGCTCGCTCAACGATTGCCAGAGTTTCTGCAAGAACATTAATGGTTGGATTTCCGCGTTGAATTTCAAATTTTTTAGCGGAACCAAAATGCCCGCAGGGTCGCGCCTACATGGACTATTCTGGGCGCTTCTTCCAATGTGGCGACGGTATGGGGCTTTTGCTGATTTTTTTGGGATAAAGGATGTCATTTGTAAGATGTCGTAACTGAAACCTTCAGGTCCAGCTGGGAACGCCTGCCCGGCCAACTACGAGTGCTACTTTGACGGGCTGGTGCATGGGTGTTGTCCTAGTAAAGGTATTCCAAGCTTCGCTATTTTTTGCAGTCAGAACTTTAGCGTACACCTGCTCGCTGCAGCTGAACAAGGGAGTTGCCTGCGGCTCCGGGTCGTCCTATAGGTATCTGCATTCCTGAAATTCCTAGTGATTTTTAGGTATTACTACAACAACCAAATGAAGGAGTGCCAATCTTTCCTGTTTCTTGGCTGCGATGGTATCCGTTAACAGTTAGACCGTAACAAATTTCAGGTAACAGCAACAATTTCCCGAACGCCGAAAAGTGCCAGAGCTACTGCGAGATTGCGAGTAAGTGGCGGTATTTCCGAGTCTTTAAAGGACCCTTAAAGTTTGCCCCAATGGTGGGTCGCCGTTGCGGACCAACAGCAAAGTACGAAGCTGTACGGCGGCCGAGCCATGCCCATCTGGATACGAATGTTCAACGGTTGAGGCTAACGGCGTAACGACAAGGCGATGCTGCCCAACGAAAGGTAAGTTTCAAATTACTAAGCCGATTTTCGGGAAAAATAATTAAGCACGCTTACACGCAAGCAAGCAGAATTGCTAATTCTTTTTAGGCTCCATCTGCGCGAAACCCCCGCATATGGGCTCGATGCCAAAGTGCAGCACCGGAGGTGGTATCACCAGGTACGTTCCGGAATTTCATGAATTTTTATGTAATAACTACAGTGATCTCTTTAGATACTACTTCAACGTTGCTCTGCAGTCATGCTCATCCTACACCTCCAACGGCTGCGACACTTCCCTCAACTCCTTCTCCACGATGGCCGAATGCGACGATTTCTGTCTTTCGGCCGGATGCGCTGCCGGGGATACGGTTTATAAGGTATTTTTAAGTGCTAGAAAATTTATAGATGTTCTCCTAGGATCCGAACAGCAACAAGCCGTTCGTCTGCAACACGGCGCTGCAGAACAACTGTCCGTCGAACTATCAATGCACGTTGAATCCGCTTACCTCGGAGAATAATTGCTGCGGCTCCGATGGAATGGGTAAATTGAAGACCCTGTTTGGTTTTACGTTTTTTAGGAGTCTGTCCTGAAGGCGAGAAAGCCTTTATCGATGCCAGGAGTAGCGCGGCCCGGCAGTGTGCTATGATTGCGGATACCAAATGCCCTACCGGGTAGGTTAACGATCCATGGCTGAGACGCACGATTTTAGCTACCTATGCCGTTTCTCACAACAACATAACCGGTATTACTGCTGCGGTAGCATCAGTGGATGTAAGTCCAGGACTACGCGACTTTCCAAAACCCACTTACAGCCCTGTGCCCATCTGGGAGATCTCTCTACCGATCGCCGAGCACCCAGTCTCCGATTCATTGCTCCATCTCAAGCCATGGCCACTCGTGTCCCAACGGATTCCAGTGTCTTTCCGAGGTCCCAGGCGCATTCCAGGGCTATTGTTGCAGCCAACATGGTGAGGACGACCTAATGAATGTTGTGGATGAAGCTTTTCGCTTCCTGAAAATTATGCCGACTTTTTAGCGGTCTGCCCGAACGGCGTGCCCTTCCACGTCGACGACAAGACTCAGATGCCGACGAGCTGCACGCGCGATGCATTCGCCTTTTGCCCAACTGGGTAGGTGTCAGATTTCAGTACTACAAAGCCTTTTTTTGCGATCAGCCATTTCAGCGCTTTTTAGGTACACCTGCCAACAGCAGCCCGAAACGAACAATTATTATTGCTGCCAAGGGCTCGAAGAAAGCGGCGTTCAAGGTATCTACCCTTTCATGATTTATTAACGAAATAAATTATTCCTAAAACCAAGAAAACCCCAATTTTTAGACGGTTGCCCGCCCAATCAATTCGCCTACATCGTCGAGGGGAAGGCTGCCAGCTGCGACCCGTTCAACCGCGAGAACAACATCTGCCCCCGCGACTACTCGTGCCAGGTTGGTGTTGTGAAAACAACAAAATAACAGGCTATTAATGATATCCGGTAGTCACGAAAAAAAAACACAATTCCTTTTCAGTGGTCATCTACCAACCAAAAGTACCAATGCTGCGGCACCATTCCCGTGCGCCAGAAGAAGCCTTTCCACATTGGTTGGCGGATTTGGCTCTTTTTTCCACGGATCCCCTAGATGACGGATGTTCGGCAAGGCAGTTCGCCCTGCTCGACCCTCGCAGCCAACAACCACGCCTCTGCACCGCCGGCGAGGCCAACGCCTGCCCGCCCGGCTTCTTCTGCCAGTTCAGCCCGAAGAAGAACCAGTTCCAGTGCTGCGGCCAGAGTGCGGGTTTGTGAAATGGAGGTTCTTCGAGTTAATCCCCTGATTTTCAGGTTGTCCCCCGCGACGTGCGGCCTTTATCGCGATCGACGGAAATGCGCAGGAATGTCTGACAGGCCCGGATACGTGTGCTGAAGGGTAAGTGGCTGGATATTTGTTCTTTGCTATTTCCTAGATATGCATAACTTTTAATTTTAGAATTTGTTCGAAAACCGGGGTATTTCGTCTTTTTGATAAAATTTGTCAAATTTTGTCGTTTATCAAGACTTAAGTAGCTTAGAACCAAAACACTTCGTTTATTTGTTTTAGTGGTTATCGAAAAAACGAAAAGGAACCTTTCAGTTACTAGGAAATACTGGAACCAGGGTGGGGGGAAGGTTTTCCTTGAAAACACGGAAGTACTGACCGTCCCCCCCTCCCCTGGTTCCAATATTCGTTTTTTTTTTGTTAGAGGTAGACAGTGGAAAACAACTGCCAAATTCTGCCCTTTCAGGGGTTGCCGACGGCATAGTCAATCGATTACGCGCTGGAAAAAAATGTCTTGCGCCTCTCCCCTGGGCGCGCTCTCTGCCCTATTGGCCACTTGCCAATTTGTTGATGGGTAGGGGGGGGGATCGACACATGCCGTCGGCAGCCCTTTAAATCGCTTATAAATTCTAGGGCTAATCCGACTTTCCAGGTACCAATGCGTCTCGGGCAGCGAGGGCAAAAATATTTGCTGCAGCGAGGAGGGGCACGAAAGTACGTTGAATACAAACTACGCCAAACCATTTACTATGTAGTTTTGCCACCGAAGCGAATTTCAGCGTGTTCTCCTGGTGAGCGTTGGGTGGACGGGAAGTGCGTGACGGCCATCCGGCCCGGCGAGCCCTGCACCGACAGTCAGCAATGCGTCGGGGGCAGCAGTTGCATAGACGCGTCCTGCACGTGAGTGTTTTTGGTCGTTTTGGCACCTTGAAAAAACTTTAATTCATCATTTCTATTTTCAATGTTTTTAGATGCCCTCCGGAGCATGACGTACTCGGTCACGTTTGTGTACCTCGCGAATGTGCCGGAAATGAGGTATAGCTTAAACCTAGGAAATCATTTTCGTTGCCAGATCCGCATCGACGGGCAGTGCCAGGCTCGCGCCGACATCGGACAACAGTGCAAAAATTCGCTACAATGCACAGGGAACTCGAAATGCCTGAAAGAGCGGTGTGACTGTGCTGAGGATGAGGTTCCGACCTGCCGCTCCTTTCTATCAATGTGCCTTTTAGGAGATTGCCAACAACAAATGTGTGCGCCGGCCGAGCAGCCGGAAATCTCAGGAAAAAGTTACATCGACGACGACGACCACTGAGGCGACGACCTCGGAAAAAGTAACCCTTCGTCGTAAGCTTGTCACCGCATTCAGGAGAAGCCAACTACCACCGAGGACAAGGAGGAGGACGGGGAGAAGCCCGTAAAACCGACAAAGAGCAAGGGACTGTGCCCGATCAAGGGTCAGAAAGCCTTCTACGAGAAGGGCACCACACGGCTACGGTACGTGGGGTGCAATTTTCCAAGGTCCCAGAGTTTTAAACATTTTTCACGAATTTTCACAAGTTTGGCGGCCCGCAATATCACTGTTTTAAGTTTTAAGTTTTATGTCCCTGTCTTTCAGCTATTGCTCCCCGGCGCTGGCCGACTGTCCGAAGGGCTACAATTGCCAGTACTCGAAGCTCGAGATGCAAAACATTTGCTGTGGCGGGCAAACGGAGCAGCCGTCCAAGCACGGTAGTTTTTCGCGCGGTTTCCGTTTCAGTTCGGTTCCTTTCAGCTGTGATGTGCCCGGTGGGAATGTCGCCATATCTGCTGAACGGCAAGCCAAAGTCGTGCCAAACCGGGACATGCCCATATGGGTATCAGTGCAAATTTAGGTGGGGTATTTACTGCTGGATAAGTCCGATATTTTTTTCAGCTCGGCCAAGCACGACTACTTTTGCTGCTCGAAGAACGTGAAGGCGAAGCGAACGTTTATGCGAAGTAGGTTATATCAATTATTTGGAGATATACGACTTGTGAGAACGCTGTTTTAGGGCACTTAAAGAATGGAGCTTCGGCCTTATCGGAGGGGGATTTTGGCCACATTTTTGAATTTTTTTGACGAAAAAATATGAAACGAAATTGCATTTGGCTCAATAGAGGAAACTACTATTAAAGAACTTCCTATTTCACTAAAATTTTTTGTCTTTTTAGGTGAAAACCAGGGTTGAAAAGCCGCTTCGCGACTTTTCAACCCTGGCCCCGTCTAACTTGATGAAATTCTTCACTCTGCATACGTCTCTCGAATTCCTATGGGGGAAAAAATGAGGAATTCCACTCTCACCTTATATATAGGCTTCCGCCACTTCCGGCGTATGCTAATTATTTCCTAACAAAGAAGGCTGCCGGATTTTTCAACAAAAACTCAATTTTAATGTCGAAAATAGCATAATTTGCAAAATCAGATATGCGTGCAGTCATCTCGGGGACGTTACGCACCTAATGACGTATCATACGTAGCCTAACGCCCTTCCCCTCTTGAGATATCCTCCGGACACGGTGACGGAAGTTGCTTGCAAATGCACACACACACACACACACAGGAACTATTTTTTTATATATAGTAGGATAGTGGGGAAAAATATAAATACATTGTCGATTTATTTTTTATCTGTGAAGGCCAGAAAAAGGTTCGCCCCCCCGATACTGCTAGAGAACCAGAATTATTTTTACAGGAAAACACGATGGCTGTGAACGCGGGCGGGCCCTGCTTTTCCCGAACACACAGGAGCCGGTCTCCTGCGAGCCGGCCAAGAAGGGCTGCCCGGTGGTATGTGGATTCTGAATCGCTGAAAAATTCATTCATATACGTACCATTAATGCGTGAAAACGTGAAAACACGACATTCAGGGATACGCTTGTCTGCCGAACATCTCGAACCAGACGTACCAGTGCTGCTCGATTGCGATGAGCAAGGACAACGAGATGATGTTCGAGGAGGTGGAAAGTGGGTTTTTATGTGTTTTTTTTTCTGCTCTTTTTTCTCTTTTTTTCTAATGACCCAAGACTGACTGATTCTCTAGAAATTTTGAACTTTCCTCCTTTCCAGTCGAATGTCCCTCGTACATGACGCGGGTGGAGCGCGAGGTGAACGGCGTGATCAAGACGTTCTGCGGTTTGTCTCATGGAACCATAAATTCTAATGGCAATTCTCTTGCAGAAAAGCCACCTGCCCAATAGTCGACGCGCAGCAACAATGACAGCGGCACGAATGACAACCCCCCGAATCGATGATACTCAACATTAACAAGTTCTTTCACGCGACCGATTGTGATTTTTGTCCGTTTTCAATTTTGTGTCCCCACTACCGTACCCTTTCTAGGGTATTTCGTTGTGATTAATTCGTGTCAAGATAAGTTGGCACAGCGCGAGGCCTCGGATACGCACAAGAAAAGTTTTGGAGCCTAAAAATACAGATTATGTGCGTATCCCTGGCCACCCCCGTCAGATACTGTGTATCGAGCCAAGAAATAAATTGGTTTATCATTGAAACAAAGACGACTCCACGTTGCATGAAAATAAAAGAGAACTTCGTAACGTTATACATCAATAGGCAAAAATCATAGAATAAGGGAAAAACAATTCGAAACCTCCTATGTACAATCAGATCACAGTGTTGCCGCGTCGGGGGCTCAGATCATCGAAAAGCGGAAGCGGAAAAGGGGTCAAAATCGACAAAATACGAGGGGATTCGCGGGGAAAAAAAATAGGATATGCTGTTTAAGTTTAGACACGTGTTCGATTGGCGAGTAGCTAGTTTGTAATAGAAAAAAATGGGAAATTAGAGTAGTTTAACGAACTTTAAATGGAAAATACTACTAATTGAGTTGCTCGTTTTCTAGTTTTGTAGTTCTGTTTTTAGTTCAGCTAATAGTTTTTAATCCAATTTAAAAAATCGTAATAGAAACGTTAAAATCCACGCAATAAAAAAATACAGTTTTAAAAACCCTACAACCTACACGAATTTTACAGAAATTAATGTAAAAACGAGGGGAAAAACTGAACCGCTATATAAACTGGGATTTAAAATATTTTAAAGTTTAAATGATTAGCCCGTCTAATTAACGTCCGGCAACCGGCTCGACTTCAGCGGGGCCAACTGCTTGGGCGCTGGTTGATGCTTAGCATGCGCTTCTGGCTGCTCAGCTGCAGCCTCGACGACGGCTTCGACCACTTTTTCGACGGCCTCCTCGACGGCGTCGTCGTTCCACATCTTCATTATGTACCCGTACTCCTTGGCCACCGTGAAGCGCTTGCCGAAGAACTGTTCGGCCGGCTGGAATTTTTGTTTTTTTGTTTTGAAAGGTAAGAAAATTGAATTTAGGGTGTTAGAAAAATTAGCTCCTAACTAAAAAACTGCCTCCACCCCGTTAATGCACTAGCACCGAATTTCTAACCTTAGTTGCCGGATTCGGTCTCATACACATCATCTGCCGCGAGGTGGGACTGATCGCCGGCCACTGCGGGTGGAAAGCGTTCCCATGGCGATTCGGGTCCCTGGAATTTGTAAGCTTTTGGATTTTGAAAAAGTCTCCTACCCAAATTTGACAAACGACGAGAAGTAGTCGCTGGTGAGGGCGGCGAGGATTTTCTCCTTCTTCGAGAAGGCCGTGTTCGAGTAGAAGGCCTGCTGCCGGAGGAGGTACGGCAGTTCGGAGGCGTGGGTAGCACCTGGACAGGGTTTTTTAAGTGTTTCTTAGCGAAAAATTTCCCAAATAGGCACTGCTAGTTTGCCTGAATTAGATTTTTGCCAATTTAAATTCCGCAACTTTTTGGTTTAATCCAGCTCTGGAAATATCAGACCGATTCCCAAATAAACAGTGCTAGCTTGCTTGATATAGCGTTGCTTTTTCCGCTGCTTTTTAGGTCTACAGAGCGACTTTATACTTTGAAACCCCTTAGATTTAGTAAAACTTAAAAAAAAAAACAGAAATTCCTGAAGAAACTCTGCTAGCTTGCCTAAGTTTGGCTTTAAAACAGTAATTATTATAAATACAAATTTATACCATGAAACGGGAACCGCACGCCGATGATCCCGTAGCGACGACGTGGCTAAAAACGACAATTTCCTAAAAAACGCCGCAACTACCGTATACTCCCACAAATAGGCATATGTGGATGCTGGCCGTGTGCAAAAGTGGTCCATGGCCATCGACAGCGCAAAGTTTGACGCGAAATCGCCGTAGCAGACCGGGTAGAGCAGGTTCAGCTTCTCGGGGATGCCATCTTTCTTGTACGTCTCGATTAGCAGATCCAGGGTTTGCTAAAAGAACGTTGTAATGCATTTTTAAACGGCTGTATAATCCCAAAAAATAGCTAAATATAAACTTGTAAGAAAATCCCATAAACAGAACGCTCACCTTCATCTGTACCTCATCCTGATCGTGTACAAGGTTGCTCATCAACAGCTGGAAGCTCTTCTTCGACAAGCCGAGCGTTTTGATGGCCACTAAAATCAAGATTCGATTACTGTCCGAAGAGGATGGACCAACCAAAGAGTAGCCCCTCGTACTCGGCCACCCCGCAGATCGTCGCCATGTCCGGGGCCTCGAGGCGAAGTCGCTGAACAGAGATTTTGCTAGGTTTTTCCCAGATTTAACTCGGCCTAAGCCTCCGGAAAGCCTACGCTCAATACGCCCGCAAAACCTCACCTCCACCGGTTTCGGCAGAAAATAGCCATCAAGTACGGCCACCTGCGGCATTTTCAGCTTCTTCAGCAAGGGCTTGTAGTGCAAAAACGTGCAGCCGAACCTGAGAAAAACGAAGATGAACAAAAAAAAAGAGTTAAACTAATAGATTATTTACCGAATTTTAATAAAAAATTATTATTACTTTTTCGCTGGTAGCGACCGCAAAAACTCCATCATCGCCTGGTGTTCTTCTACTGGAGACGCGTAGTTGCCTTTCGGTTGCCAGCCGAGTTCCATCGCCTTTTCCCTGAAAAAATACTAAATAACCTCTGTTAGGCATGTTTTAAAAATCATCGTTCCAGATAAACATCGAACCCACTTACTTGCAAAAATCGACGGTTTCCTTGACGCGGGAAGTGGCCCAGAAGACGAACGAGCTGCCCCCCATCACGATCTTTTTGTTGAACAGGTCTAAATTAAACAATGTACTGTAGTTGTAGTTTATACTCACGCCTCGTCAATGGGGAGATGGATAGCAGATCGGTGCTGACGGCGCCCGCGCTCTGGCCGCCAACAGTAATCTCGCTGGGGTCGCCGCCGAAGAGGTTGATGTTCTCGGAGGTCCATTTCAGGGCTTCTGCCTGGTCGAGGTGGCCCATGTTGCCCTGGAATTTAGGCGTGAAAGAGCCGATTTACAAAATGCCGATTTACAAAATGCCGATTTACAAAATGCCGATTTACAGAATGCCGATTTACAGAATGCCGATTTACAGAATGCCGATTTTACATAATTTGGGTCTACATCCAAAAATACAAACCGGATCCCCAGAAAAAACATCATCCGACTTGGCCATGGCGAATTTTTACGAATTTTTTTTCGCGTAGGGATCGGGGATTACGAGGAAATCGTAAGCCTCGCGACAAGTTTCAACGCATGCCTTTTTCGCTGGTCGCCGACACTTCAAACGTGCTCAGCCGCAGCGAGAAACTCGACGATTCATTATTATTTCTTGGTTGACAATGCGTCGAGAGGAAGGGAAAACTGTTTGATAGAAGAATTTAATTTAGTAACCCATGGGCGGCCGCTTGGTAACGTGGAACTAGGGTTTCTCTGAAAAAAAAAGAACATAGTAAAGCTAGGCCTCAGGTCTGGCGGTTTCGCCATGTCCAAGTCGGATAATGTTTTTTTTTCTGGGGACCCGGTTTGTATTTTTGGATGTAGAACCCAAATTATGTAAAATCGGCATTCTGTAAATCGGCATTTTGTAAATCGGCATTCTGTAAATCGGCATTTTGTAAAATCGGCATTCTGTAAATCGGCATTTTGTAAAATCGGCATTCTGTAAATCGGCATTTTGTAAAATCGGCATTCTGTAAATCGGCATTCTGTAAATCGGCATTCTGTGAATCGGCATTATCAGCCTATACCGGGGGGTAGCTACTCTGACTGTGCCTATAGACGCCTTAAAAAGAAAAACTATAAAGGTGCATTTCAGGCCCTTTTTAGGTGTCGGTTTACACTTTTTTGCAAGTTCAAAAATTTTTACTTTGGTCAAAAATTCCAAAATGTCTTATGAAAAAATGTTGTAGATCTTTTAGCAGAAGGCTTTTGCCAGAAGGCCTCCGTTTTAAACAACTCACCGGACAAGCCTCATCGCCCGTAGAGAAAAAGCCGAGAAAGCCGAGCCGGTAGCACACTGTCACGACGATCACGCCCTGGGCGACGAACTGGCTGAAAGAAAAGATTACTACAGTGTGTGCCAAAATGATAGGGGAATGGAGTTTTTAGCCGTTTTCTCGGCCGTTCTCCATCTCCGTGTACAACCAAATCATAGGCCTTGTAGCCCGAAAAAAGACGCGCCTTTTGGTTTACTTGAATTCTCTTTACGATAAAAGATTACGTTTTTAGAAGCGATTGTATAAAAATAGGGAAAAAACACAAGTGACAAAATGATAGGGGAATCATTAACATATCATTTCCATCAACTTTCTGTATGAATAGTGGATGTTGATTGATTTTAATTACAGATTCATTGCAGGAGAAGATGTAAAAATCGTAATTGCTGGCCAAAATTCCGACCGGAAGTGGTCAGTCAAAATTTGCATCTAATTAGCATCTAATATTGATACTGAGAGTTGATGTTAACGATATGTTAATCATTCCCCCTATCATTTTGTCACTTGTGTTTTTTCCTTATTTTTATTCAATCGCTTGTAAAACTGTTATCCTGTATCGTAGAAGTATTTCAAGTATACCAAAAGATGCGCGTTTTCCGGACTACAAAACCTGTAATTCGGTTTTACAGCTACATGCAGCATCGCAAAGAAATCGACCAAAAACTTCATTCCCCTATCATTTTGGCACACACTGTAGTACGCTACACAACCACGTACCGACAAATGCCCTCCGGCGGAATCCGAGCCGGCGAGTCCATCAGCAGGGCGCCGCCATGAATGTAGAAGAATACGGGGTATTTCTGGAAAAAAGGGGGTTTTGATATTGTCGAGTTTTTCGAAAAAAAAACGTTAATGCATAACACACCAACCTTGCCGGCCTCGAACTTGGGGGTGAACACGTTGAGGTAGAGGCAGTCCTCGGAGGTGGCCGGCAACCGGGAGACGAGCGGTTCCCACGCGGGGATCACCTGGATGGCTCGGCGGCGGTAGGAGCGGCAGGAGAGGGTGTTGTGCCAGCCGTCCGGGGCGACCGGTCGCTAAAAAGTTATTTAAATTTAATGTCGAAAATATGAGTTTTTCAAAAGGTCAATTGATGAGAAGGTTTTTCTAGACCATTACAGACCTAATGACAAATCCACCTCCCCCTATCGAGGTATCCTCGGGAAACGCTGACCGAAGTTGGATCTACCAGCAAACAAAAACACGTTTTCCATTTTTTTTAATTGAATTTGAATTCGGACGGTGAATTTCTATCGTGGTTTCGCTCCGAATATTTTCGCGGTATTTCGACACCGGAATTCTCAAGTTGTACGTGAAAACCGGCCTTGAACTGGTCGAGCCACGCCACCCGGCCACTTGAACCCACCTTGAACCGGAGGGGCCCGACTGGTGGTTTGGCGTAGGGGATGCCGAGGTAGATGTCGGCGACCGGGCCATTCTGAACAGTAATATAGCGTTACGGAAAAGCGCTGTAAGGCATGGATTTTGCGAAGCCGCGACACGCAACGCGTACGGATCACGACGCGCTACGTCGCAAAATCCTTAAAGAGCTCCCTTTGATTAAAATACCTTATAGTGAATCCTCCTCCCCTGTACCGTGCCCTTCTTGGTGACCACCTCCGGGGCGGGCAGAATCTCACGACGGCTCACCAGCGAGCTCCCAGCCCCCATCTGAAAATCGGGGAAATGAGACGAGCCGCAAAAAAAAAATTCAAATCTACTAAATTTAAAATTTTGATAGTCAAAATAGCTAGCAGCGATTCCTGGGGAAGTTGCCTATCAATCCCAGCCATTTTTGTTTTTGGGTATTCCAGCGCGGGTGGGGCATCCTACAACGCGCGCGCCGCAGCTAGAAAATAGAAATCGAGGCCGGTTGGTACGATTTGTCGAGGCCGTGGCGGCCGGCTAGGCCATGGGGCGAACGCGGTCCATCGAGATCACCTGCATTCTGTGCAGCCAGGTGCATTACAATGGGCGGCGGAGTCGTGTGGGCGTTCGGGTTGTGTTAATGAAATTTTGCGGCTAATTGGGGGAGGGGTTTATCAAGAATAACAGTTCTAAACTACAAGAGAAAACTATTTGAAGTCTAGCTTCATGGAGTTTCGAAAAAAATGCCTGAAAACAAAGGCTATGATCGAAATTTTAGTAGCTGAGCCTGGCTATTTAAAGTCTCGCTTCCGAAGGAAAAAATACCTGCAACAAGGGGTCAGAATCGGAATTTAGTCAATGAGCTTCTACATCAAGCCCCTTAGAAGTGTTCCCTGAGTTTCCCACTAGCACCAGGTCGCAAAGCCGTTAACGAGCCACCCGGGCCGGTAATTGCCAGCCGCTACCGGTGCACTACTAATTACGCGACGGCTATGATTGGCATCCCTGGCGGGTAGAGGTGGAACGGGGATCCCCCCGATTCTCTACCATATCACCTGCACTACTGGTGTAATTGGGGGAATTGCGAGTAGATGGGGAAAGTTTCTAGTTTGAGTAGGTGCTGGAATTTCTAGCTTTTTTTAACCTACATTAAATTAGAAATTTAAATCAAACCAACAAATTAAATCAAACTTCAAAGATAAATTGACTATAATGTAAAAAGAGTTCTAAGAATGAGAAAGAAATTCGTTTCTTGCTTTTGGCCTAAATCACTTCATGAACTTTAATATAATGTAAAAAGAGGTCACTAAACAATTTACGGAATAACCAAGGCTGTAGAAAAAGCGTATAATTGACCAAAAGTAAAAATTAAAAATATCTAAATAATATAAAAGGGACAAGAAGGGTAGCAAAAAAAACAAGAGTTAAATTTTCCTTTAACTTTAAGGCCAACTCGTCAAAACCCACCATCGTTGGCGCATCCTGCATGACGTCCGCGTAAATGAGATGTGGAGCAGATGCAGCAGCAGCGATTGCACGCAATCAAATCAATGCGCATCGGCCTCGCAACCAGCGGTATATTTCGACACTAGAACACTACAATAAGTCGATGATCCGGGGCAATCAAGCAAGCACCCAGTCCAAAGAGCAACAAGGCGACTGTGGCCGACACAAGATGATGACTCTGGCCACGAAAACAAGTCCGTGCCCATATGTGACTGTAGGAAAAGAGGAAAGGCGCCGCCGCGGTGGTGGCGGTTGATATTTTGAGAGACCGGATGGGGGAGGCGGGGGGTTGAGGAGGCATCTATTGTGTTTGAGTGTATCCAAATGAGTGTCTTGCTACTACCCATCCCCCCGTACATCCTCGAGAACCCCCTGTCACACAAAGATGGATGAAAACAGCGGCGCGTTTGGAAAAATTGATATATCCATGGGAAAATCGGGGGAACGGGTACGTGTACCTTTTGACGAGACGAGATAACGGGCGATTGCGCCTCAACGAAAGTCATATCAAAGCGTTACCAGCCGGTAAATAAAGCGCGCCGAACGATAGGGAGAAAGAGAAACCGCACAGCAACCACAATTTGATCTGTGCGACAACCGTCAAACCCGAAAGCCAGTATCCACCTAGTGCATGGGTATTCACTCGATACCGGCTCCTGGAATCCCTTTTGAAAAGAACTATCGAACCCCACGCCCACTCTCCCGCGCGGGGAGAACTGACCGACTAAAAAACCCCCAGTCATCATCGAAATGTCTGACTAATCTGCATTGTCATAGCGTGTTCTTTATAAAATTTATATCACAGTCCCAAACGAAAAAAATAACAAAATATAAACCTTCAAAAATCAATCTTTGCCGCGCCCCCATCGTTGTCACAACCGCATGCCTTGTTGTCCTGCGCCGTCGCTTCCGAGTCCGTTGCTTCAAAAGAGATAGGCTGGAAGACAATAAAATGTGAGCAAAAGAGCATACCTTCTTCTTCCTAGTACTTGTGCTGCAATTCAGGTCGTTGAGACTGTCTTGGCACCGATCAATGGCATCGTCATTTCCCTAAAAGCGCGAATTAATAAACCAGTACTTTCGTTTGCTATATGAAATCCGTAGGACACATGGTAAAGAACGTACCGAATTATTATTTTCAACGGTGACACCATCTTGATCACCACGACACTCACAAGGCTCGCCTTCGCTTTTGCATCCTGTCTTTTGAGCGGAAGTAGTTGTTGCCTGACGAATTCCTCGTCTTCTAGGGAAAAATGATACCTTTTTCTTGGTACCGAGCTGAAGATTGTCTGTATTCAATCCCTCAATCAACAGACACGCCTTGCACAATTTCTGGCTTGAAATATAATTGCATCTAAATGGTCGCGTCATGAAAAGGTATATAAATAAACCTTGAGCAATTGCCCAGTACCGGCATCGCCACCTCTTTGCGTATCGCCACCGATTCTCCGCTAATAATAATGTCGAGGATCGCACGGGGGCGCACCCGTTCCAACTTCTTGATGTAGTCCCTAAACTCTACCTTGCAGGGTTTAAACCATGTCAAACCTTGCAAAATTACGATAAGCGTTCGGGGCATATATGCACTCCGTGTAGAAATATTCAAGCTTGTTGACGCGCGCATACATCACAATGTCTTTTTCGTAGGAGTACTGCAGCAAAATATCAGATTTAATGTCTAAAAATACCTTCAAAGGTTTGGCCCGCGGCAAACTTCCACCATCTTCTCCTGTACAAATGTTGGTGCATCTGGAGAGAAACAAAATAAATATTATGAGGAAAACAACCTTTCTAGTCGTGCTACATCTCCGCGTAGTAGGTTCATCAAAACAGTCTCGGCAATGTCATCGGCGTTATGGCCAGTCACAAGCTTCGTACAGCCGAGCTTATACGAACCCCTAGTAAAAATATGCCAAAAATGAGGTGCAATACCGGTCTAGTGCCTGTCGTCGAAAGACGCCGCAAAACGTGCAATTATTCTTCTTGCCAATCTTCGCCACAATTTCGTCCATAGACCACCTAGAAGGACAGTCTCAATCAGTAGCGATAAGCTAACCCATAAAGATCTTTGTAGCTGAGGATCGTCAATGGGAGCTGATATTCGATCTTGTTCCGCTCCACAGACTAAAAGACTTTCTTCCCTCCATTCTAAGATACCTTCAGGGAATCGTCTCTGTACCCTTTGATGCCCTCATCGATGGATAGCAAAATCAACTCCAATCCATAGTCATGACGCTCATTCAGCACCTGGACGAATGGAACTGAGAATTGGGACTACCTTCATAGCATATGCCAATACAGTTGAGTCCTTGCCGCCAGAAGCGCCGATCGCTACTCTTTCACCACGTTTGAAGAGGGAAGTCGAAGAAATCGTTTCATGCACATCCTGAATACGTCGAATGTTCCCCTAGGAGCCCCGCTACTTGCCTCTTCGAAGCGGTGTGTGAAACACGCAGTACAGACCGGATCTCCATCACGCGCACGCTTGATCGTCGCTGACGAGGTACAAGCCTCGGTCGAGCAGGCTATAGGCATATCAACTCCCTGCAAAACGATTTTTCGAAACACGGATATGCTTGTTTCGTCAGTGATCACTGCTTCTTGATGATATATACTTGTTTGTATTTTCTGCGTAGACAAATATTATAACAATCTTTATGTGCGACAAGCAAAAAACGTTACAAGTTATACAACAATTTATTGTAACAATAACGAATTAGAAAACCAGCTTGTGGGGGAACTGTCCCTTCTGAATGGAAAATCGGGATCCCAAGTAGCCTCGGAGGAATTTGTAGTCGGGGTTCTTCTTCAAAGCGGCGAGGATGGCGGTATCAACAGTCTTCTGGTCGGCCTTACGTTGATCGGTAACCTAACAAGAAAAATACAGCGAAGACCAAGCATTACAAACCTCGTACTCTTGCTTGCCGCTGGCGAAAATGTTCTCTCCCTCCTTGGTCTTGCGGGTCTTGCTCTTGACGCGACGGAAGTAGGCATCATCGAGGTTAGCGGGCAACTTGACACCAGAAACGTCGATCTTGGTCTTTGTGGCGATAACGAACGCCTGAGCGATCCTCCTCAGTGGCGTGTTGTTCAACCGCATGGGCCCTAGAAGAGAAATTAGTAAATTTGAATGGGGACGCACCAGTAACGAGCAGGAGGCCAGACTTGGCGAGCTGCTTGAGGAAGATGACGCGCTTTCCCTTGTGCTTGCCGGCAAGGATGATCAGGACAGTGCCAGGGGTGATAGTCTTGCGCAGCTTGGTCTTGGCGAGGTCGCCTCCTTCGACGGCAGCGGACTGTCGGATTTGGGGGAAGAGTCGGGGCTAAACAAAAAAAATTATGGCCAACGATCTCCAAACTTACGCCCTTGTTTTCGACGACTTTGCGTTCTCCGCCATTCTTCGAGCCGCCAACCTTCTTCACCTTGGTGGCACCGACCTTGGGCAACGCCAATCGCGTGCTGGAGAATCGTAGTACTCCAGGAGCGATCTCGTAATTTTTCGGGATCCTCGGAGTTGATTTACCCGGCATCTGGAAAAGATAGAGAATACAAAAAGAAACAAAGAAAATCCGGAATAAGATGGTGAAAGCATTGGAAAATTGCGCAAAAGCAGCACCATCGAAGAAGCAGTCAGGGGTTACCAAGAAGGCGGAAAGTTCATACGAGGCTACGAATAAGGATTCTGAGGAAATCTCGACGAAAAAACGGCGATGAAAGTTGTGAAAAAGCGCTTTGTAAAATTTAGGTACGGCAGAAAAATGGGGAGGGGGCCCGTTGAGCCGCGCGGTGCGGCGTTGTGGAAGGTATCGCCGCGTAGGGCAGGGCAGCGGGATTTTGAAAAGTTTTGGCCAGCAAAAAAAATAAACTAAAAAGACAAAATAATAAAGTTTTAGTAAAATAAAGAAAAGAGAAATAAAAAAAAGTTTAAAAAGGACTGAAAACCCTGTAATAAACATAAAATTTGCATCCGGGAGGAAAGCAGTATGGGAAAGTCGTGGGAAAAGCCGCTGTTTCTTACTCGCCTTATTTCAGGAACGGTCGTTTTAGGTAAGACCTTCGGGCTTATGCTTTGCAAATTTTAGAAGATCGTAGCTATTATGGAGTACCCAAAGAAAAACGCCAACCAGCTCGAGGTGATTTAGTTGGTCTTATTTTGATGTCACATCTTAGGAAGCTGATGAAATGCTTTCGCATGCCGCTTTCAGCATCGAGAGGTTCATTTGTTACCTTCGCAGGTTCGAGATCGATATACCAAATGAGATCTCGATACTTATTTAGCCAGCTCGGCACGGAAAACCCGCTGATTCTGGACCTCGCCGAGTACAAGGAGACCGTAGCCGGCGTTTGAAGACCGTTAAAAATGTTTGCAGATCTTGCGCATCCACAAGATCTACAAGAAGGAGTCGTGTTTGAACAGCAACGGGGTGGGCTCGCCTTATGCCAAGGGTTCGGCCTTGGTGGAGATGCCATCAGCCGAGAAATTCATGAGCTGTCGCACCAAGCAGGTAAATGTCTCTTATTGCAGCAAGCACATTTTTTTGAGACCCGATGCGAGAAGAGCGGCCAGTCGAGTGTCCAGACGACCCTTGGTGGCATTTGTGAGCGGGGAGCCCTTTGGTGATAATTTTTTTAGCGACCCTGCCCAGCCAGACGCGCGGCGAATTCAGCGGGCAGACCCGGGCTTCGGATTACTCTTCTGGAATCGGTAAAGATTTGGCAAGAGATGGATGGGTCTTATAGATTCCACGACCCTCCATGGCTATCAGACGGTCGGGTCGACGATGAAGCGCGGCTGCCCGGAGGCTTGCCGTTGCAAGCCGTGCAACTGCCCGGCCCCGTGTGCTTGCGGCCAGGCGAATTCCAAGGAGTTTGGTGAGTTGCTAATATTATGTTATTTTTAGATTGCATAAAGCAGAAAACCAAAAAATAGCCAAGCCAAGCGTAAAATGATCTATTTATTGTACCTAGCACCTTCTTCGGCGGCCTCGGCTGCCGGCTGGCAGACCTGCGCCAACTCGGCCAACCATGCCCACTTCAAGGGCCGCGGACAGCTCGACGGACTCGATTCGAATGACACGGTAATGCACCCATTTTTTTGTTTACTGCGAAGTTTAGTTGTGCACCCAAGTCACCCGCCGCGCCGGCATGGAGGCCACGACCACCGTGCTCACCCAAGTGACCCGCCGCTGAAAGTGCTGCAAAGAAACCGTCAAGCCACCCAATTCTTCGATGTCGATAAAGCTATTTGATTTTACGCTTGTGAAGCACAGTGATTATCGCGTTCGGACTTATTGTTGCTGGGGTGTACAACCTTATCGTTACGTGTTTATCATTTTTTACGTGTTTACATTTTTTCCACACAGGTGACTGGACGCCGATTCAAGAAACCATTCAAATATTGTTCATGAGCACTGTGCTTCAGCTGTTGGACAGCTAGAGCAAAAGTTCTGGGGTTTTGACTACTGCTTTCGGCTGTGCCATGGGTCGCAACACGTGAATGTAATCTTTGCTTGCTTTTTTCCCAGAGGTCTCCTCGTTTTCAGTGCTCAAATTCGCAGCTGATAAGCTTTTCGACCCCGGCTGGAAATGGGGCTGTTCCGGGTTTTGCTCTTAATTAATTTTTTGTTTGTACTTATTGATGGTGAGTGCAACGTCAAACAATATCGCCAACTATCCGAATAGCTAGAAGATCTTGCGCCAAGCAATACTACCACCAGAAGGGCGATGGTGATCTGCTAGGTGACGTCGCTTTTGGATGCATTTGTAATGCCACTTACTGCGATGATATCGAGCCACTCGGAGCGTTACAGGTATTTTTTGAGAGGAGCGATATTTTCTCAATTTAATTTCCAGGCAGAATATTTTGCGGCCTACATCTCGACGCAGAGCCTCAACCGGATGGACAGGATCGATTTCTACTTCACGGCGTTTCCAAGTAAGGCGGGGCACCGGATCGTGATAAATTTTGCAGATAGCTCAACAATCGCCAAGGTGGACGCATCAAAGACATATCAGGTATGTGAAATACACGGTTACAATCGAGTAAGGCTTTATTATATAATGGCGGGATGTAATTATGCCTTCTTCTCCCAGTTCACTTGCTCGTATTCTCCACCGTCGTCGCCACCGCCCTGTAAAAATGCCGTTAGCGCGGTCGAATTAGTTGTTCTAATATGCTAAATTTCACAAAATAATAATTAATTAGGTCAGAAAAAACCTGACCTGTTGACTCGGCTTGTCTCCACCCAATCCGACGCCGAGACTCTTGGCTGGTACCCTAGAAATAGAGTTATTTTGCCTTTCGCCCCGGCTTACTCTTCCTTCTCCTTCTTCTCCTCCTTCTCCTTCGATGTCTTCGATTTCTTGTCGGACTCCTTCTTCTCGCTCTGTTTCTTCTCGCTCTCCTTCTTTTCCTCCTTCTCCTTCGTCTCTTGGGTGGCCTCGGTGCGGCCTTTCTCGGGCTTCTTCTCCGACGCGCCCTTGGCCGACTTCTTGGACTTGGCCTTCTCGGCGGGAGGAGCCGCGGCGGGAGCGGCTGGTTCTGCGGCGGCAGGCTCGGGGGCGGCGGCGGCTGCAGCAGGTGCGGGGGCTGCCGGGGCTGCAGCTGGAGCTGGAGCGGCGGCGGCCTCTGGGGTCGTGGGCGCCGGCTGGGATACGGAAGGGGCTTTGGCCATCACCGAACGGCCGGCCGGGGGCGGTGGGGGCGACTTTTCCCGCATCCCACGATCAGCAGGGCGGGGGCCAGGCTGAAAGATATTCTTATTTTTGTGTATTTTTTGTCTGGTCCTCAAAATTAGCCAATGGTAGGGGGAAAGTAAGTAGCAGGGACCCACAAAATTAGCAAGGGCCCAAAGATGACACTGAGGCCAATTCGAAGAATGTGGAGCGTCGACCCTAGAATTCAGATGATGGGAGAACATAGTGCTGAAAACTGACCGTGCAACTCGGAGAGATCCATTGGTAAATTTGGGTAATAAATAGTAAATACACTGGCCCCGGAGACAAGTAGTAGTGAATGACAGCGTGCCGCTTCCGATTCCTTGAAAAGACAGGAAGGGATGCAAAGCTCGGGCGCATCTGGTTGGAAATTGATTCATTAGAAATTATTTGCTAATAATAAGAATATGCTAATCAGCCTTTTAGACGATCTATGGATTTGGTGGAGCGATCACAGACGCTGTTGGTATCAACCTGCTGAGCCTCAGTCAACCGGTCCGAGACACGCTGATGAAACAATATTATGGGCCTACCGGTATGCTTATGTGGCTTCCATCTTTTTCTGAGTATTTAGTTATGATTAAATTTTAAAACATAAATTTGTGGTTATAGGCATCGACTACCGCATCACACGCGTCCCGATGGCTTCGTGCGATTTCTCAACTCGAGAATACTCATACTCCGAAGTTGCCAACGATTTCGAGCTCGCCCATTTCAACTTGACGCAAGAGGATTATTTATACAAGGTGGGCGGAAGAGATTCTTTACTATTTCCGGTTTTCGCAACTGTTTTTACTACTTCAATACGTAAAAACTTTACAAAAAGCTTTGAAAAATACAAAATATCGGCTCTCCGATCAACATTAAAATTTTTTGGTACTTTGGGGGTTTCTAAATAGTTTTCACTGCAAAGATAACTAAATTCGGCTCAAAAGACTATTATGAAACGAAAGAAACACGAAAAGGAAAATCAAAATCCTTTCCAGATCCCCTTCATCAAGCAAGCCCAAGATTTGGTGAAGCAGAACGGCGGCGACTTGAAGCTGTTCACGACGGCCTGGAGTGCGCCCGGGTGGATGAAGAAAAGTGGCAAGATGCAGGTAGTTTTTGGGGGAAATCTGAAGCCCAGAAATTTTAGGGCGGCGGCGAAATGCTTGGCGAACTATCGGGGCCTTACTACAAAACATTTGCCAACTATTATTTACGGTGTTATTTACGGAAGGGCTTTTTAAAGATTTGGTTTAGGTTCTTCGAGGCCTACCACAACTTAGGTATTGATTTCTGGGGTGTAACCCCGATCAATGAGCCAAGTGCCGGGCTTGTGCCCAATTACCGCTGGCAAGCAATGTTTATGTCGGCGGAAATGGAGAGGTAGGATGAGCTTTTTTCGTAATTCGTATTTTTGTAGGGACTACATCCGAGACACGCTGGGTCCCGTGCTCCGAGGCTCGAACCTCACGAAGAATATAAAAATCATGGCAGGAGATGATCAGCGGACAATGTTCGTCTCGGAGTCGGTGCTGCAGTCATGGCCGGACATTGTTAGTTCTGCGAACGAGAATATGTTCATTTTTCTAAATATTTTTTGCAAAAGTTTTTTTAGTCTTTCTGTCTGTCAAAATTACGATACTGGACTGTTAGCGGGGGTGCCTCGTTTCCTTTTTTTCGCCTATGGCATTTGTTAATAATATAAAGCATCTTTTAGAGCAGGTTCGGTAATTTTTGATTGCTAGAAAATAATAAAAAGTATTGTAAAATAGTTCGAAATTAAAATTTTTTGCCTTTTTTGACCAAAAACTGAAAATTTCAAAAATTTGTATAATTTTTATGTGGCCTTTTATATCTAAAAGCTTGGTAAATTCATATAAAAACGTATTATATTTACGGGCAGAGCTGTAAGAGATTCTTAGAGATCCCCCCGTTAACAGTCCAGTACCAAAATTCCGCGTAAAAATATTTTCAGATTCTAGCCGACGCGGCGGCGGCCTCGTTCATCGATGGTTTCGCGGTGCACTGGTATGACGACTGGTTCATCATCGAGTCGGAATTGGCCAAGTCGGTGGCAAAGCACCCGGAGAAATTTGTATTAGCCACCGAGGTATCTTTAGGGCTATCAAAGATTCGTTGAGAGTTTAGGCGTGTACCGGTTACATGCCCAACGAACAAAACGTGCTTCCCGGAAACTGGGGAAGAGCCGAGCAATATGCCCTCGATATTATTGAGGTAGGATAAAAAAATCCATTAGTGTACAAGCTACACCTTTTGACAGGACCTGCGCAGCGGGCTGGTCGGTTGGGTCGATTGGAATATTGTTTTGGATCAAACGGTAAGGTTTTCGGGGTTAGGATTCGGAAAACTTTTCAAAAAAATGTAAAAAAATGTCTTTTAGGGAGGGCCAAACTGGGTTAACAACACGGTCGACTCGCCGATCATCGCCAACTCCACCGTGGACAACTTTTTGAAGCAGCCAATGTTCTACGCGTTGGCGCATTTTAGGTAGATGTACGCTGAAAAAAACTACAAAATACAAACTACAAACGAGGTTAAAACATTTCAGTTATTTTGTCAAGCCCGGATATCAGCGGGTTGATCTCGACTTGGGCACCCAGGAGCCTGGGTTGGACGGTAGGCAATTTAGAATTTTTCGTCTAGTTAAATTCTGAGGTTTGAAATATGGTTCTTTCGCATTACCGGGGGGGGGGGGTTTTTGTTGTTAGTATCCAATTTTTCTAATAGGGTTAAAAGAGGTGTGTTTTTAGTATTAATTACAATTTTTAGTACAAAAGTCAAAAGATATCGATTTTACAGCAAAAAGCCAATTTTCCACCAAAATTTCGAATTTTAAAAGTTTTTTAGATAGTGTTCGACATGAGATAGCGAAATTTTTACTAGAAAACTATGAAAATACTGTTATCAGGGGACCAGAAATTTCTGGACTTATACGAAAAAATTAGCCCCCTCGATAATGCCAAAGCACCAGAATAGAAAAATAAAAATAAATCGGAAAAAAAATAGTTTAACAAAATAGCAGTTTTAGGTGTGGCGTTCGTATCCCCCGACAGAAAGCAACGGGTTCTGGTGCTCCAAAATGGAACTCCCTTGAATATCACCCTCAGCATTCAAGATACGAAGAGACCGACCCGTTTCGGCAATCTATTAATGCCCTCACATTCAATCAAGACTGTCGTCTGGAATAATTGAAATAAAGGGTTCCCTCCAAGTTGTCCCTAACAGCTTTTTCGGTGTTTACGCGCTCGTCAGGAACCCCGAAAAAATGGCTGACTGTTGCCTCCTGTGTGTGGAGAGTGTTTACGGCTTTTCCCCCGGGTAAGGTTTAGGGAAAACAGGGCGGGTTTTTGACGAACGTCGAGAGGGCATTTCGTGAGGTTATACTGTTATCGGAAGCGGTGATAAGTGGAATGTTGCGTATTTTTTTTTTGAGGTATGGGGGACGTTTTATGACGTACAAAAACTTTTCAAAGATTAAAATAACTGTAAAAAAAAAAGTTTTTCAGCGTGAAGGAAAACGTAAAAGTAACGTTTTTAAAATATCGTAACTGGAGAAAGAGGTTCTCTATTACAGAAATTGCTCATCTTAAAAAAAATATGCTTTTTCCCTTTCTTTTGCTTTTTGCAATACGTGAGCTGGTTTTTTAACGCGATTAGAAAACGTGTTTGGTACTGGACTTATAGCGGGGGAAGCGTAGAACCAACTATATTCCGTTTTTTTTAACATTTTACACCGTTTTTACATGCAAAAAAATAAGAAAAAAGGCTATGAAAACACCTGATCGATCATTAACAGGCTGATGTCGGCGAAAAAAGAAAAATTAAGAAGCCGCTACTTCCCCCCGCTAACAGACCAGCACCACTTTTTTCCAATTCTTAAAGCTCGAAAGTTTTAGCTATTTTTAAAATATCGCGGTAGATTTACAGGGTTTCCAATAGCACTACAGTTAATAACCAAAAACCTGTCACCGCGTCTGTTTTCTCGCGGTTCAAATTCCGCCCCGGGGGGTAAGTTGTCGGCGTAGAGTTGTTGTGTGCGCACGTGGGGGACAGAAATTGCGACTATCTCTCTCTCTCTCGCTCTCTCTCCCTCTCTCTCTCTGGCCGGGGCTGGCGAAAGAAATGGTAGACGGAGAGGATGGGAGAACTGCAGAAAAACAGCAGAATAGGGCTAGAGAGAAGCCTGGAAAGTGCAAATGTCCTCAGTCGAGCAGAGGGGTCCCTCGTCCATGGTTGGCATCAACAAGGAGGAGTGGGCTGTTTGTGGCCCGCCCCCTTTAGGCTGTTTTCGCATACGCCTGGATATAAAAGGGGTCCTTTCGAAAGGGATAACGATCACTGGTACTGGACTTTTGGGCTCTGCTAAGCTTTTTGAATGGACTTTATATATTTTTCCTTTTTAAAAACATCGCGCTCCTTGAATTCATCGATTTCTATTTCTTTTTTACCTAAAAAACTGCCTCTATATCTATAAAAAACCTAATCTGTAAAATCTATAATTAACTCGACTTTTCCAACCGACTCCAAACACTTTTAACTTCTTCAATTCCTTTTTTAGCTGTTAAAATTAGTTTTTTTGGTGACCGATCTCGATTCTCTGTCTTTTCCATTTAATCCTGTCTTACCCTCAGATTTTCAGAAATCAAAAAACCCACAAAGCGCTAAAAAATGCTTCCCGCCAGCCGAATCGCTGCCGTCGCACTCTCCAAGGTTTATTTTTACAAACGAAAGTTTACTAGACTTTTTTAGAACCTGGCCGCCAACTGCGCGCGCACTACGTCAGTGGCCTTTGTCCACATTGATAAGGTTCGTTTTTTGTGATGTTTTACAAGTTTTATATAGATTTAAACGTGAAATCGCGTTTTTTTTGTTTAAAAAAGTCAGTTAAATGATCCCAGTACTGATCTGTTAGCCGGGGAGCTAGTTTTAATTTTACATCTAATTTCAACCTGTTAATCAACATAAAATGGAATTTTTATGATGGCATTAGTAGTTGTTTGATCGTTAAGAATTGCAAAAATATCTCAAAATTTTGGATAATCTGAGAAAGCGGTTTTTATAATGTTTCATACATTCTTTACCAGAAATGACCTCCGCTAACAGACAAGTACCAAAAACCAGGCTTGTTTATGTTTTTTTATTAAAAACTCTGAAAAGCAAATTTTCGACAATTTACAGCTTTTTAATTTGCAAATGCGCTAAAAACGTTTCAAAACACCCATTTTTTCAGCACAACCCCCAGGCATTGGGGAGAAGCACGAGCAGATGAAGATGAGCACGGAAACATGGTGAGGGATTATCTTTTCCATTTTTTTTGGTTTCAAACGTGCCAATAGGTCTGGAAATAGGGCGGGTGCACTTTGGCGTTACTCTTGTTTATCCGGTCGACAGTGCACGGCCCAAAAACAGGAGGCAATAGTCTATCGACTGGTGATTGTTATTGCGGGGAAAAGACAAAAATGGAAACTTAATAAAAAAATAGGAAAAAGTAGAAGAAAAATCGCCTAGCTTTTTCCTAATACCAAAATCTCCTGAAAATTCTCACAAATGTCATCCTTTGTGAGAGCACCGCAAAGATGCCATGACCTAAAAGGTGAATTGCTACATGTTTGATTCCGTTAAAATCCTTAAGTTTAAACTGCCCTCGTGTGGTTTTTTAAAAGAATTTCCTGCATGTTGTGTGCCAATAGACCTGTAAAAGCCTGTAATACTCTTCGGTACTGGACTGTTAGCGGGGGGGTTTAAGGGGGTGGGGAAGCCAATTTTCCTCGGCCACTCATTTCGCTACTTCAAAAATTGCTAAACGAGATATAAATTTCTTAATAACATTTTACAAAGCTAGTTAGCTAAAAAATTCATGAAAATTGTAAAACCTAAAAAATAAAGGCTTTTAGCGAAAAATTAACGAAAATACCAAAAAGTCAAAAATTTTTCATGTTTTCAAATGACTTCAAATATTTATGAGCGGTTTATACATACTATTTTATACATTAGTTTATAAACCATGAAGTATATCCTTTATAAACAACAAAAAGCTACTAAGACAATCCAAAAATAAGCTCCAAAATGAAAATTAGCTTTCCACCTCTAAACCCCGCCAACAGTCCAGTACCCAATTTTCCAGCTGGGAGTATATTAATGCCCTTAAATTGTAATAAAGGCTAAAGAAATTACCATCTTTTTTCAGGCAAAGCATTATCAGGGATAACGTGACCGACTCCGAATATGGAAGTAGACGATCAAGGACATCAAGGAGAACCTTGGCGACAAGGTCTACAACGCAAAGGAGTCCGTCAAAGAAACTGTAAGCAGCAATATTTCTTCTTTCAAATTCGCCAATATAGGCCCAGACTGTAAAGGAGGCGTTTAAGCAAACAGTAAGCTGTTTTCGTGTGTGCATCTGCATGACCATTAACTCATCTTTTATTTTCGGGGCTTAATTCTGAACAGACTTTAATTATTTTCAGGCGCAGAGGCCAAGGAGGCAGTTACCGGAAATGTAAGTTGGATTGTGGCGTAAAAGTTATTCGAGATTTTAGAAGACGATGGGCGAAAAGATGGGGGACCTGAAGGACAAGGGCGGTTGCGAGAAGGCCTACGACGCCAAGGAGTACATGATGGGGAGGTAAGCATTAGCAGGTTTTTGATATATAAGGAACACTAGTTAAAGGTTTTGCGGAATTAAACTATCTTGTGCATTATCGAGGGGAGAATGAGATTTTTCTAATAATCCATTTTTCTAATATCAATGACTTCAGTATTTTTAAATTGTTGTCGACTAATCCTTAGCGCATAAACCTTAAAAATTTTCGTTAAAAACACAAAAATCGATTTTTTCGATGATAAATGCCGATTTTCAACCAAAATTTCGAATTTTTATAATATTTCTAAAGCTTTTTAGATAATTTTTTTCGCTTTCGATGTGCTAAATGTTGCTAAAAATACTATTAAAATACTACTATCTTATTAGCTATTTCTGGACTGAAAAGAAAAATGATTCCCCCGATAATGCATAAGAACCTAAATTTATCTATTTTATCTCTCTAAAATTTAACTCTAATTTATCTCTCCTTTTGCAGAAGAGCATGGGCGAGAAAGCCGAGGACTTGAAGGACACCGTCAAGGGAAAGGTGAGCTTTGGAGCTAGAATTCTGGGAGCGCTAGGCAAGCTAGCAGCGATAATTTGAGAGCTTAACCCAAAAATTCCAGGCCCACGAGATGAAGGGCTACGGCAAGGCCAAGCTCGACGAGGCCAAGGACAGAGGCACGAGGACGCGTACGACCGCATGGAGGTTGGGTGTGGAGCGTTGCGGAATTTTTTGAAAATGTTTTGATTCAGACGGCAAAAGGCACGATGGAGCAGGTCAAGGAGAAGGTCGCTGATACGGTGAGATTTTGCAATTTTTTGTTTTATTTTTGTGCTTTTAGTACCAGCAAGCCAAGGAAGTCGTTGGCGAAAAGGTGCAGCAGGCCAAGGAGGTCGTCGGCGAGAAGGTGAGTATGAGTTTTTAGCGGTAGAGAAATGAGCCTGAATATTTTAAAGGTTATACTTATGCTTAAAATGCTTAAACTCTATTAAGAATCCGTTTCCCGAGTCGTTATTTACTGGTAAAGCCACATTTTTTGCACCAACTTGCACGTCTTGTGGCCTAGAATCCATTTTCTAGCCCAAAATATCGCGTTTGTTTACTGGTCAACCCGGGGGGATGAGGGTTGCACTCTTTCGCTGTTTCTGCTCTACGTGGGGGCCCGGGCTGAAAAAGGGGCGCAAAAACAGAAAAACAACCAGCCGGGCGATGGCGTTGCGAAATCTGGGGCATCTCCAGAAGCTAGAAAATAGCCCTAAGGGCATCGGGGATTTTGAGAAATCTGCAGAAAAATAATTTTTTTTTGTGGAAATAACTCGGGAAAAACAACAAATAAAAACCCGGTTCATGTGCATTATCGGGGGGGGGGGAAGAATTTTTCTTAGCATCCAATTTTTCTATTAAAACGCATGCATGAAGTGTTTCTACAGGGTTTTTTCCTAGCCTGAACATAACAAGCTTTAAAATTCTGATCCAAAATTCCATTTTCAACCAATTTCGAAATTCTAAATTTTTTAAAGTTGTAGATAGTTTTTCCACTTTAAATATAGCTAAATTTTGCTAATAACAGTATTAAAATAATACTAATACGGTAATAGGCATTTCTGGACTTTTACGAAAATTCTTCTCCCCCGGTAGCGCCAAAGCCCCAAAAAATCGAAAAATCTACGAAAACTAAATAGATGAGTTACAAAAATCTTTATCCAAATTTTGCAGGTGGGATTGAGTCGAAGACGATGATGGGCGGCAAAGAAGTGAAGGCGAACCCGAACGAGGTGGAGCGAAAGAAGAAATACTAGAACGGAATAATAAATCGATTAATTTGCAGTTTGTCCCCCACTTCGAGGTCATGGAGAATTCCTACTTTGACAACATTCACGATATTGACCGCATTAAGGTGGGTGTATTTGCCTGGCAAAACCCCTAGATTTAGAGAGAAACTAGCAAATGCACCCTAAAAACTACCAATAACA